TATCACTCGACTTTTCTCACGAGCCCCAGCTTCCTCGGTAGTATAGTGGTTAGTATCCGCGTCTGTCACATGCGAGACCCGGGTTCAATTCCCGGCCGGGGAGAATATTTTTCATTTTTGCTTTAAACGGCTTTGGAGAGTAAAAGTGGTTCAAATTAGATATGAAATTGGATTAGTTAAGATCTAAAGCTCATCCACAACAATTTGTCCACTCAATTGGGTCTTTATGAGTCGATTTCTATCACTTCTATCACCGCTGCCAGCTTCCTCGGTAGTATAGTGGTTAGTAACCGCCTCTGTCTCATGCGAGGCTCGGGTTCGATCCCCGGTCGGTCACGATCACTTCTCCTTTTTAAATCACTCACTTCTCACAATCACTTCTCCTTTTTTAAAGCAGTCTAATTTTTAGATTTTCTACTTTATAGCCAAAACTCAAAGCTTTAAAGCTCCGAAAGTAGTTGGGTAGAAATGTATCCATTGCATCAAAAGATGTGCTTACAAGTTAAGCGCAAACATTTATAAAAACAATTACTTTAGAGTAAAAAACTCTTTAAACTCACTTTACATACCAATCATTAAGTTCTTTCTTCTAACACTTTTTGTGAAAAACTCTCTTGAGTCTTGAGCAACGTAATCTCGAAATAAACGAAATAAACAAATTGAAAACAAGACTTTCATCTATTTAAATCGATTTCCCAAGTAATTTCCGAAACAATTTCCATTTAAACTTTGAGATTTTTGAGACTTTGAGACTTTGAGAACCCAAAAAGTGTAAGTTACCATAAGTGTTTCTCCAATTCATTCCATTTGTTTATTCGTTTGTCTGTCTGTCTGTGAAACTCTCGATTGGTGAATGAAAAGAAAGCAATGATTTGTGAGTAGATGAAGCAAAGGAAAAGGGGGGGGAGTGGCGCCACACATTCTCCCCTCGTCGCTTTGTGAGGGAATTTTGAGAGGGGAAAACCCCTCTCTTTTCCCCCATCACATCATAGCTTTTTCACGAAAATCGATTGACTTTTTTCATTCTCATTGAATCATTGACCTAAATAAGAATATTAAAGAATGTACCTATTTCTATTCTACTCAATATAGCTGAAGATCTATAGCTGAAGATCTATAGCTGAAGATCTATAGCTGATGATCTATAGCTGAAGATCTATAGCTGATGATCTATAGCTGAATATCTTTAGATCAATAATAGCTATCATATTCAGCCTAGTAAATATTTTAAGCTACAGGAAATTTGTTTGAAAGCTCACTTCTAAATCTTGACTCTTGTCCAAAAAAGGCTAGAGTTTGGTGGAGATCGGTTTCTCTTTTGAATACTTTTCTAAGATTCCATCTAATCTAGAAATCAGTACATAGTACAGATCTTAATAATATTGAGTCATCTCAGAACTTTGCCCTAGTCAAAGACATACTTTGTATCTTATCCTTATCTTTGCTCCAAGACTCACTCTAATCACAATATTCCAAAGAGCATTTCCTTTTCGTCCATAATTTCCTCTTTTTAGTCTTGTAGCTCTATATTCTATGTAAGTCAAAGTGCTTTAAAAAAGTTCTAGAAGAAGTCGTGAAAGTGAAAAAGTTCTAGAAGAAGAAGAAGTTGACGTCTAGAAGTTGTTTTATTCAAAAAGTTCTATCCAACCCAGTAACTTTCATCTTGTACTCTGTCCTAAACATGGGAAAACTCCGATTCTTGTTGCTCTGAAATCTTTAGAGCAATCGGTCAAGAAATGGTCGAGAAAACGAAGATGGAATTAGGTTTGGGTTGGAGTTTTCCCATTTCTACTCTATTCTTTTTCCTTTTCCAGTACAAATCACTCTTTCAAACTAAGAGATTCATCTCCTGAATCTCCTGAATTTCCTGGTCAATCAGTTCATATTCTCTACCTTTCTACAGACTTTTTGAGTCCAAGATCAGTCCAAGATCCATCCAAGATCAGTCCAAGATCCCTCCAAGATCAGTCCAAGATCCCTCCAAGATCAGTCCAAGATCCCTCCAAGATCAGTCCAAGATCCCTCCAAGATCAGTCCAAGATCCCTCCAAGATCAGTCCAAGATCCCTCCAAGATCAGTCCAAGATCCCTCCAAGATCAGTCCAAGATCAGTTTTCCAAGCCAAAGTACAGATCCAAAGTATTCAATAGTGTCTAGACTCGATAGTTTCATTTCCCTTTATTCGATGCTCAGTAGTCATATCTTTTCAATCATCTGATCCTTGTAGTCTCAATATATTTGCCTACAAATCTCCGTAGAGATAAGTTCAAGTTGTGAATGGAATTGGGAACGGATGGGGATGACCCCCACGTGGGTTTTCTCTCGCTTCTCGCCAATCTCTCAATGAAATCCATGAAAAAACTGTTCTTTCTCCATTTCTCTCCTCATTTTTCTTTCTTTCTCAACTATTTCCTTGACTCCGCCCTTCTTTTTTGCTTTTTTCTAAACCCAATCTCCCCCGGTCGCTTTTCATTCAATCACTTCAGCTCTCTCGATGCCGTGGCTTTTGAATTTTTATATTTTTCAAAGGTTTTTTTGTCATTGGTACAATCTGATTATGGTATTCTTTGTGCTAGATAGTAAACGCACCCCTTCTCGTGTACTTCATTCCTTGATTTCCTTGATTTGTGTCATTGGTACAATAGTCAGCTTAAAGCTTAAAGCTTAAGTTCTTAAATTCTTTCAATTGTCAAGTTTGGCTCGTTCCCTTGGTGCACTTTGCGCTCTCAGAAACGCAGCGTTTCTAGAACACTTGATTTCTGACTTGGTTTCACGGGAAATGAAGAAATCAAGTACACGAGAAGGGGTGCGCTTACTATCTAGCACAAAGAACACTATAATCAGATCATTTTACTAAATCTGTGCACCCGTGAATCAGTTTGGCTTTGGTAGTAAGGCTTAGCTACTGTACAACTTTGATAGCTTGACTTTGGTAGGACTGTAGTGTGCAATATCTGTCGTACTTGGCTCGCAGTACTTTAACTTTACTTTAACTGAAGCAAGCAGAATTGCTTATTTCAGCTTAATAGCTCTATAATAAAAGTAATAATTAATAAAAGTAAAATAAGAAAAAAAGGAGCTGCCGAAGGGATCGAACCCTCGACTCTCGAGCTTCAAGCTGGCAAATGCTCTAACCACTGAGCTATTCGGCATCTGTTTCGCCAAGAAGAAAGAGGAAATATAACAAAGATGGAGAAGAAAAACCTAGTTGAATTATGATACTTTCAATGATTTCGTTGAGTATTTAAAAATATTTATTTTATTTTATTTTATTTTTATTTAAGTCCTTATTTTTTTGGCTTAACAACAAGAAATTACAATTTCTACCCTATTTTTCTTTCCCGATTGTTCAGCTGATCAGTGACAGCTGTTTCTTCTTTCTTGTCATTGTGAAATCGTAGCCCAACAACGGTACAAAACTTATCGAGTAACACAAATCATTTTCAGTTGTCAACACCTTCAATCACAATTAAATTACGCTTTCATTTTTCCCATTTTCATTTATTTTCATCAATTCTTTGATCTTTTTAATGAAAATCTTGAAGAACCACTTGAATCACAATTCCTTTAGCCAAGAAACCAAGAAATTTGATCTTTTTAATGATAATTTTGAATCTAAAAAGGATTTCAATGTTAGAAAAGTCGATTTATCAATCTAATTTTGTTATTTTCAATCTCCTTTTTTCAATCTTTTTCAATCTCTTTCTGGATCCTTGTTTCAATGCTCGCATTGAGCGATCGAGCTTCGGCTGACCGCCGAATTTGTGCCATTTGTTTACAAGTGATCTCTGACGTTCAGTAGACAAGAAATAGTCTAGATTTTGGTGTTTAGTGCGAAAATTGTTGTTAAAATTGGCATTTAACGGTAAAAATTCAATTCAATGCCTAGTATTGCCTTTTGCAAACTGAACCAAGCCAGGTAAGCCCATCAGGCTAAGCTTCAAAGCCTCAAAGCTTCAAAGCTAAGCCTCAAAACCTCAAAGCTTCAAAGCTAAACCTCAAAGCCGCAAAGCTAAGCCTTAAAGCCTCAAAGCTTCAAAGCTAAGCCTCAAAGCCTCAAAGCTAAGCTTCAGAGTCTCAAAGCTAAGCCTCAAAGCCAAGGTCCAGATCTGCCAGGCCAGGATTTGGCTTATGGGTTGGCACTTGGGATAAGCCTGATACTAATCCGTTTGTTAAGGTTTATGGCCAATTTTTGAACAATCAATTAAAACCATCAATTAGAACAGTACAATCAGTACAATCAGTACAATCAGTACAACAGTACAATCAGTACAATCAGTACAATCAGTACAATCAGTACAATCAGTACAATCAGTACAATCAGTACAATCAGTACAATCAGTACAATCAGTACAATCACGATCTCTTGGTCAATCGAATTTGAGTTGTTTGAAAAGAAACTAAGCCCTAGATTTAATCTAACAAACTTACAATAGAACATAACTTGCCAACGATTTGCTATTAAACGAACGACTTGTTATTAGACCAACGACTTGCTTTCTATCAGTTCTATCAGTTCCTTTGTTTTCCATTAATCTGATCTCCGATCCCCAGACACTAGACTAACCTAGTTCTCTCAAATATTTGCATATCGACCAAATAAACGTGATCTTTTGACGTCACTAGATCGAATGTCGACCAGAGAATTGCCCTGGGGTGAGAAGGAAACCCCTCTCCTCAACCAATCACTTCATTGTCTCACCCACCATTGTTTTAGTTGTTTTTTTCTTTATCTTGTCTAAATTGTTCAATCAGATCACTGATTCCTTTAAAGTTTTTTAAAGATCTTTAACTTTATTGGATTCCAGAAAGCTTTTTAGCTGTGTTTTCTTTAAATAATTTTCTTCAATTCCCCACTTTCCCAACACGCTATCAACTTTTATTGCTTTCCGTATCCTCAGAGTTCGCTAAATTCCCGTTCTCTCAATTTCCGTTCAATCTCAATTTTACTCAAAAAAAACTTACAGAAAACTGTGTCTTAAAAAGCCGTCAACGTCAAAAATGATGTTCGATTTGGATGAAGAGATTGATCCGTTGGAAACACCACAAACCGATAACAATCCCTTCAGGTTCGTGAAAGAATTACGTATTAATACGGTAGTTTACTGTACTTCTGTATGAATACGTGCTTCGGTATGAATACGTACTTCTGTATCAATACGTACTTCTGTATGAATATCTACTTCTGTATGAATATGTACTTCTGTATGAATATGTACTTCTGTATGAATATGTACTTCTGTATTACTTCTGTATGAATACGTACTTCTGTATGAATACGTACTTTCCTATCCAAGAGTTGTGTACTATGTCCTCTCCTGATCTAGCTAACTTTGTGCTCTCCTGATCTAGCTGACTTTGGCTCTCCTGATCTCCTGATACCCATTCTAGCGCACTGAATTCCCTATTTTCTTGTGAGAAAAGTGAGGATTTCAGTTCACCTAAGCCAAAGCCTAAGCCTAAGCCTAAGCCTAAGCCTAAGCCTAAGCCTAAGCCTAAGCCTAAGCCTAAGCCTAAGCCTAAACCTGAGCCTAAGCCTAGGCCTAATCCTAAGCCAAAGCCAAAGCCAAAGCCTAAGCCAAAGCCTAAGCCTAAGCCTAAGCCTAAGCCTAAGCCTAAGCCAAAGCCTAAGCCTAAGCCTAAGCCTAAGCCTAAGCCTTTCTTTACAAGTTTTAAGCATAAAGTACGGCTGAACAAAAGAATTTTTCTCTAAAGATCACCAATCACTGCAAAATTGTTCAATGAAGCGGGAAATCCATCTTTTTTTGCTTTCTTTTCGCTTTTTATCGGTTCAATGAACACTTTCAACTTTTAGAAAATAGATTTTAGAAAATAAGAGTTGATTGTTGAGAAAATCTATTGAACAAAGAGATTTTAAAATTAGAATTTCCAGATTTTCTCCCGATCTCATCGAGAAGCACGAGAAGCGCTTGCTTGCTGAAATGGACTTTATACACGAGCAATCACCGACCACTTTTCAAGTAAAGTATTGAATTTATCAAAAAATATAATTAAGAATAGTTTCTAGATTTATATATTTTAAGAAAACTACTAGTTTTCGTATTTAAAAATCGCATTTAAACTAGACAAAAGTCTGGGGCGATTTTTCTGCTCTTTCTGCGTACTTTCTGCGTACTTTCTGTGTACTTTCTGCCTCTTATAAACGCTTATTTTCTTGTACATTTGTTTCTTTACCTTTTAATAGATCTTATAAAGATGCAGCGCTCGATTTGTGAATGAAAACTTTTGATATTATGATCAAAAGATATTAGAAAGAAGCATGAGTGAAATTTTGACGAATTTAAACATTCAAAAGGCTGTAAAAGTGCTGAAAAGTGTTAAAAAGTGCTGAAAAGTCCCAAAAAAACCCCAAAAATCAATTCCTTTATACAAATATCTACGGTTTTCCCAAAAAACAGCTCTTTTTTTTTGCTAGACTTTCTCTATTTTCTCTATTTTCGAAGAATTTCGAGCAAAATCGATTCCCAGCAGTTGTTCTCTTTGGTCAACCCGATTTCAAAAGAAAAAAGCCTTTTTTTGCGGAAAATTTTGGGGAAACCCAATCCCAAAATAGAACCAAGTGATCTGACCACCAGATCACTTTTTTTGTTTGCAATCTTTTTCACGGAATCGCGAGATCAACGGGAATTCGCAGAGAAATGAACTTTAGGTACTTTGAACACTTTAGCATCTTTAAAGTGTTGACTTTTTTGGCTACAACGTAGAGAATTTGTATCTAGAACTTATGATTTGAAAAGAAAGACTTGTTAAAAGCAAAAAGGCAAAACGATTCTCCCCGGCCGGGAATTGAACCCGGGTCTCGCATGTGACAGACGCGGATACTAACCACTATACTACCGAGGAAGTTGTTGGCAAGTGGGGAAATTAGGAATTGAGCCGATGGTTTCATTCAAAACGCTCCCAGTAGTGATAGAAGTCGACTCATAAAAACCCAATTGATCGACTAAACTGTTGTGGATGAGCTTTAGAGCTTAACTAATCCAATTTCATATCTAATTTGGATCACTTTTACTTTCCGAAGCCGTTTAAAGCAAAAACGAAAAAGATTCTCCCCGGCCGGGAATTGAACCCGGGTCTCGCATGTGACAGACGCGGATACTAACCACTATACTACCGAGGAAGCTGGGGGGCGGTGAGAAAAGTCGAGTGATAAAGGCCACCAAAGCTCATTTAAATTCAATTCTTTTGATTTTTTTTGAACTTTTTGATCCAATTTCTACAATTTCTATAATTCTGGATATCGTAAAAAAACTGTAAAGTAAAGTAAATAAAAGTAAAGAGCTTTTGATTGGATTTTGATTGGAAAGAGCTCAATTTGAGCTTTTGATTGGATCTCTTTTAACTGAATATCTTTTAACGGAATGTTTTGAGCTTTTAAGTGAATATCTTGAATGGAAGGCTTTATCTCTTAGCTGAATATCTTTGACTGAATATCTTTAACGGAGGCTCTTTAACTGAATATCTTTAACTGCAGCTCTTTAACGAAAGCTCTTTGACTGAATATCTTTAACTGAAGCTCTTTAACGGAAGCTCTTTATGTTTTAACTGAATATCTTTGTCTTCTGTAAGAAGTCCATAAAGAAAAGTTTGATTTTTGAATGCTAAGAAAGAAAAATAGATCACTGAGAGTTAACAGAATGATAGAAAAATAGAAATCGAATAGAAAAATGATCAAATAGAAAGAAATGGAAAACTGATCTCAAATCCTCAATTTTCCAGCGATCTCTCTGTTTAAACGCAACTTCAACCCTCGAGGTGCACATCTCGGATGACGAGGAATCACCAACAGCCGAATTGCAACGGAAACTTTGCCTTTGCGCGAGTTTAAACCCGGAATTTGTAAGTTTCATTAAGAATTGAAAAAGCTGCAGTAATCCAGCCTAGATCCAGCCTGGATCCAGCCTAGGTCCAGCCTGGATCCAACCTAAATCCAGCCTAGATCCAGCCTGGATCCAGCCTAGATCCAGTCTAGATCCAGCCTAGATCCAGCCTATATCCAGCCTAGATCCAGCCTAGATCCAGCCTAGTTACCGGTAACCCTTTCCAGAGCCAAGAAGCCGCTCAACGCTCACGCAAACAATCGTACACATCTTTCCCCTATCACGATCATCAGATCACCGACGATTACAAAGTATCAGCTGAGGTTTAAGAAGCTAAATGTTGACCTGAATACAGAATTTTTTTAGATTATTGGAATTGGTGAATCGGGTAAAGTGATGGCTTGTTACAATAAAACGACTGGAGAGAAGTATGCGTTGAAAGTGTTAAGAGATTCGCCGAAAGCTCGACGAGAAGTCGAGTTGCACTACTTGACATCGTAAGGATTTATTATATTTAAGATTTTAAGTACTACTGTAGTAAAGGCGTCGTTTTCTAAAGCAAAAAGGTAAAAGGTTAGGTGTCTAGCTTGAACTTGCCTGTCAAGCCTGTCAAGCCTTTGGCTGGTCATGGCTTGTCTAGGAGTTGTCTACTTTATTCTTCATTTACTATTAGTTTACTGTACTGTTCATTTGTTTGATTGTCAATAGGTCTACAACGGAAAATGATATTTGATTCCTTTAATGGCTACTTTCAGAGATTAAAAGATATAGCTTAGAAAATTCGACTAAATTCTGAAAAAGTAACTATTAAAGGAATCAAATCTGGTTTTTCATCTATTGAGATGAGCTTTTCTAATGAACAGCTCTAATATACTGTATTTAACAAGCATAATATGATAGGTACTGTACTGTAGTCAAGGCTTACTACAGTAGATCTTTAACAACAGTCTCACAGGAGCCATGAGCCAAAGACTCAAGACTTTGGCTTTGGATTAAGTCTAGCTAGATTCTAGCTAGGTTAAGTCTAGCTAGGTTAGGTCTAGCTAGATTCTAGCTAGGTTAGGTCTAGCTAGATTCTAGCTAGATTAAGTCTAGCTAGATTCTAGCTAGGTTAAGTCTAGCTAGATTCTAGCTAGATTAAGTCTAGCTAGTTTCCTGTACTTTCACATAGCTTAACCCTTAGTACTGTAAATAATTATTCAAATTCATTTCAGAAATCATGAAAACGTTGTCACTATTCATGACATTTACGAGAATACATTTGACGGCGTGAAATGTTTGCTGATGGTTGTTGAATTTTTGGAAGGCGGTGATCTTCTATCGCAATTTGAAGGACAAGGCAGTGTACCGTACACGGAAAAGAGTGAGTTGCTTGAAAATCGAAAATACAAACTAGCAAAATCATAAACGATATGCGATCATAACGATCATGAACGATCGTGTACCCAATTTTTCGAACTCGATTCGAACTCTTGATCTCTTGAACGTTAGCCAAGACTGCTAACCATTCAAACTTCGCAGTGGCTGTCACTGGTGTACTGTGCTTTACACTGGTTTAATGTGCTTTAGCGCTAATTTTACTGATGTACTGTACTTGTGCTGACTGGTTTACTGTGCTTTAAACTAAAACATAGTCTTCTAGAGTCCTGTATTCAATTTTCTGTGACCAGATTCGAGCATTTGATCTCTCAAAAACTTACCCAAGACTGCTAGCCATTCAGCTACGAAATCTACTGTCGTATTGTACTTTTCTCTACGCAATTACTGTACTTTCCCCTAATCAAGTCGAGAATCGATACTTTTTATATCTTATGTCTAAAATTTGACATTCTCTTCCCAATCCAACCAATCATTCCCTATTTTTAAAGATAAGAACGCCTCCACAAAGAAAATGTTTATCCAAAAAATTAAAAAAAAGCCGGGTTCAACCATTGTTCTTAGTCTTATCAGTAAAGAATAAACTTTCGCAAAAAAGATCGAAATTTTGGGGTGAAATTTCTCTTGAACTCCAGCTAGATCACCAAATAAACCCATATTTCTCTTGAACTCCAGCTAGCCCACCAAATAAACCCATATTTCCATTCGCAGAACTTTTGTTGATCAAATCAAAAGTACGAGATCAAATCGATTTCACGTAAACACCACAAAGATTCTGATTTTTCTTCTCTCTCAATCTCCTATTTTATTTTCAATGCTGATTTATCGTTGCTGAGAGAAAAGAAACGATTGATGGGAAAAGAGAAGAGATATTGAAAGAGAAATGTGATGAAAATATTAAAGAGATTGATGAGGGAAAAGTGAAGCGAGATAAAGTGGGCAAAGTACACTAAACCCTCGAGCGGAAACAACACAGCTGATTGTTTGGGGGAGAATTTTGTGAAATAGGGGAATCGTTTATGAATTGATCGTGATTGAAAAGGGGCAAAAGCTGGCTAAAATTAGATAAAAACCGATAAAAACTAGACAAAAACCGGATAAAACAGGATAAAACCGGGCAAAACTGGGCAAAACTGGACAAAACGGGTCAAAAGCCGGATAAAACTGGACAAAAACTAGACCAAACTAGATAAAAACTAGACAAAGCTGGATAAAAACTTTAAATTGTTGTAGAAATTTGTCCATTAAAGCTAAATCATCTTATCAGCTCTAATCAAATTATCATTTTCAAGTTCAAATTCAAATTTCTATATATTTTTGTGAATTTAGGCCATTTAAAACTCAAATACGACAAAAAATCGAAAAGAAATACAAATCTTGATGAATTTTTTGAATTCAGAAGATCTTGGGAATTGAGAAATCTTGAGAAGTCTTGAGAATTCAGAAGATCTTGAAAGATAACCATTTCTAGAACTCAAATAGTTTAAGCCAATTGAAGCGATTGAAAGCAAGTCAATTTTGAGTCTTTAATACATCAAAATCATCAATTAAATATCCTACATCAATCCAACAAATCATTTAAAAAATTCATCAAATTTTTCTCCTTTTCAGAAGTCGGCGAAATCATTCGGCAAATCGGCGCCGCCGTGCAATTCCTCCACGACATGAACATCGCTCATCGGGACATCAAATTGGAGAACATTCTTTGCAGGTACTGTTTAAGAAATTCGTTTAACACATCCGCCCAGCATATTTCAGCTCAAAAGGCGACGATTGTGTGTATAAATTGGGCGACTACGGCTTCGCGAAACGTCCCGAGCGAAACGTGCTAATGGAGAGCCCGTGCTGTACACCGTATTATGCGTAAGTTGGAGGATTTTGGAGCTTAGACTTATTTAGCTTTTAAGGCTTTGATTATTTAGCTTTCTAGACTTATTTAGCTTTTAAGGCTTTGATTACTTTGATACCTTTTTAAGCTAGATTAGAGTAAGATAGGGTTTAGAGTTTTGAAGTTTGCCTTGGATTGGCTGGCTTGACTTGGACTTGGCTTGGCTTGGCTTGGCTTGACTTGGCTTGACTAGAACTTGGCTTGGCTTGGCTTGGCTTGGCTTGACTAGAACTTGGCTTAGCTTGGCTTGACTTGACTTGGCTTGACTAGAACTTGGCTTGACTTGGCTTGAAGAAGACTTCACAAGTTTTTACATACATTCTTATTGAATTTTAAAAGATAATAAGTAGAATATACTTGAGTCTTCTTTATCTTGAATCTTGAATCTTCTTTGTCTTCTATATTTGAATAATCTTCTTCCTTAAACCCATCAAAATCCCGTCTTTTAGCCCACCAGAAGTGCTCGGTCGAGAGCGTTACGATCGCTCGTGTGACATGTGGTCGCTCGGCGTCGCCATGTACATATTGTGAGTTTTCATTGGAGAAATTTACATATTTAAAGCCTTTTTGAATCTTAAACGGAATGATAGTTGCTGTAGTCTGACATCTACACGTATTCACTGTTTACGGGTTAAGAAAGGGATCAGGTCAGCAAGTTCTTTGAGTAACTTGGGGGGAAATTAGCCTAACTTGGGGTACGCCAGGGTTTCTGTACTTTTGGACTACTGTACTTCCAAAATTACTGAACTCTCCGGGTTACCGTACTCTGAGGGTTGCCTTAAGGCTGGGTGATTTACTGTACTTGGGTACTCACTGTACTTTGGTACTTACTGTACTCGGGTACTTACTGTACTTGGGTACTTACTGTACTTGGGTACTTACTGTACTTGGGTACTTACTGTACCTGGGTACTTACTGTACTTGGGTACTTACTCTACTTAGGTACTTACTGTACTTGGGTACTTCCAGGATTACTGTACGGATTACTGTACTCTCAGGGTTACTGTACTCTTAAGATTACTGTTCTTTAGCATCTAGGGTTACTGTACTTTAGCTTAGATTACTGTACTTTAAGATCTCAAGGTTTACAGTAAACTGATCTTTCGAATTTCTCAGGGTTTCTATTTTGTGATCTAGCCAAAGAACAAACAAAGCTGGCCTACTTTAGATTAGTTCATTGTTTCTAAAATGAGCCTAAAGTCCTAAAGAATATATTGGTGGGATGTCAGACTGTGCGGCTATCCTCCCTTCTATTCGATGGCCGGTTTGGCCTTGTCGCCGGGGATGAGAGCCCGAATCGCGAAGGGATACTACGCCTTTCCACACGAGGAGTGGGATCCCGTTTCGGATTCGAGTAAGCGAAAATGGTGTTAGAAGTATTAGAGAAACGTTGCACAACTGTGCACACACCACTTTACTGTCTTTATCCTACAGTAAACATACAGTCGACAGTGCCACAGAAGTGCTACAGTGCCACAAAAGTAAATGCAGAGTAAGAGAGACAAAAGAGGAGCTGGCAGAGAAGCTAGAGAAGCTAGAGAAGCTAGAGAAGCTAAGAGAAGTTCTACAGTACTCAAAAGTACTTACAGTATCCAAATGCTTACAGGATCTGAATAGCTACAGTACTCACAGTACTCAAAAAAATCCAAACCACAGTCTCTACCTATCAAAAGTACTTAAAGTACTCAAAGTTCTCTCAACAAAGCCATAAAATTAAACTCAACTCATTCTATTTTAAAATCTTTCAGCTAAAAACATCATCCGAAACTTGTTGAAGACGAATCCTTCGGAAAGGATGACTATTCATCAGCTAATGTTCGTCTCGTTGGTAACCGGCGAACCCGATCGAACAACCCCAATACCTATCCCTGTGCCTGGCTCTGAAGTAAGCTATATCTTTAGCTCTTTACCAAGTACCGTCTATCATGAGCCTGACCTAACGAGTACAGCTTTACTAATGACAAATATCTTTAGGATGAACGATCATCAAGCGATTCTTGCCATGATGAGAACATGGATGAGACCCGAGCCATCCCAGAGATCCCAAAATCGGTTCGATTCTTGCGAGACGGTGTCAAACCTCCAAGATTGCACAGTATTCAGGTAAAAGCTTGCTAGATCTAAAGAGCTATCAAGACTGGAGCTAAAGAGCTATCAAGACTAGATCTAAAGAGCTATTAAGACTCGCTCTAAACAGCTATCAAGACTAGATCTAAAGAGCTATTAAGATTAGATCTAAACAGCTATCATGGCCAAATCTAAACAGCTACCAGTTAGGCACTAGTTCACTAGCCAAATTGCTCATCAAGATGCAATTTGAGCTTATAAATAAGAACTGATAAAGCTTCTTTTTCCTCCCTTTCTTGAAAATTGAAATTGAAGATTCATTTTGAATTGAAAATTGGAACATCTTCAAGCTTGAAGATTGCAATGATCTTGCTTCAAAGCTTTAAATTATCACAAGTTTTAGGAAGAGGTCGGTCGTGCGTTGGAGCTGATGCGAATGGGGCATGATTCGGTTTATGTGAAACCACCGAAGCTCGCTTGCACCTCGTTGCTGGCTCGACGACGCAGCCATTTCAGTATTCCACAAGTGCGTTCCATCTTGAGAGAAATTTCATGTACAATTCTTGAAACAATCTAATACCGTACCTTCTTTATGATTGAAGAATTGATAACAATTGGTAACAATTGGGTAACTAAGCCGGGGTGGGATGGCTGCTAAGGCTTAAGCTTAGGCTTGGACTTAGTGCGTGGGCTAGCGGCTAGCGCCTAGCACTAAGTCTATTTGGGTTTGGGCTGAACCCCCATTTTCTGGATCTCAGCCACTTCTCGGATTAGGCTTAGGCTTAGGCTCAGGCTTGGGCTTAGGTGCGCTGAATCTAGTGCACCTCTGGGTAACTAAGGGTGGGCCAGAAAGTGTGGCTTTGCGGCACGGGTGAGAACGCAAAAGTTGCTCACAAAATCATTTATATTCATTCACATTTCTATTACTTATATAACTATACTTTTATGATATGATTATATAATATTAATTCATTAAATTTCCAGGTTCAACTCAACTATTAATCTACGGTTACAGTCAACTCATGGGAAAACCCTTTTTTTTTTTCAACTTTTCAACTTTTCACATTGTTTTTATCTGAATTTTGGACCAATTTTAAAGTCACCTCTAAAGTTTTGTGATTTCTCTGCCTTTTAGGATCACCACTTATGCAATGTTTTTTTTTTGTTTTGTTTCCCGTAGATAATGTGTCATTTTTTCTTTTTAAAAGATTTACAGGTAATTCAAATCCTTTCTTCTGTTCATCATAGACTTTCCCCAGATTCGGGATGTTTTTGTAAATATTACGATAATAAACGTGTGTTTTTTGAGTAAAATTGAATACAAAGGAATGCATAGGAATACATAGGAATGCATATGAACACAAAGGAAGGCATAGGAATACAAGGGAATCCATAGGAATACATAGGAATACACAGGAATGCATAGGAATACATAGGAATGCATATGAACACAAAGGAAGGCATAGGAATACAAGGGAATCCATAGGAATACATAGGAATACACAGGAATGCATAGGAATGCATAGGAATGCACAGGAACACAAAGGAAGGCATAGGAATACAAGGGAATCCATAGGAATACATAGGAATACACAGGAATACAAGGGAGTACGCAGGAATACAAAGGAATACTGAGGAATGCATGGGAATGCATAGGAATACATAGAAAGAGTAACCGTGCTCTTGCTTCTAAGAGTTACAGTTTGCTTCTAGGAGTTACAGTTTACTTCTAGGAGTTACAGTTTACTTCTAAGAGTTACAGTTTACTTCTATGAGTAACATTTTGCTTCTAAGAGTAACAGTTTGCTTCTAGGAGTAACAGTTTGCTAACGCTTGTGTCCTGGTTTCCAAACATCGTCACTTGATTTCCTGGCTGTCCTCGCTTCACTTACTTGACCCTACCTTGTGTCCATGGGTTACCTAAGAATAAGATTTCATCTCTAAAGCAATCGACTTTAAAGCAAAGAAAACAGAAAGCTTTCCCATCGTCCCCTTGTTTCCAAATTTGGTCACAAATCGTGAAGAGCATCGATGAAATGTTGATGTTTTCTTGAGTGACGGTGGATGGTTCCTGGTTTGATCTACTCCAAAAGAGGTCCTCTCTTTTGGGAGTAGATCAAATCTCTCTTCTCTTCCTCTCTTCACTTGGCGGCTGTCATTTCGCGCGTTGACAGCTCATCTGAGCAATGGGTGAAAGGGGTAAATCCCAAGTAAACACAGCTCACCGTCCGTCTCTCCAATCAACCACAAGATCTGATTTGGAGATTCTTGAGTTATTGAAAGTCTTTGTTTTCAAAGTATTCAATCATCTGTAGAGAAATGTCGAGATCCCGTGGACCTCAGGTGAAATTTTTAACTCTTTTAATAAGCTAATCAGATTTAGATTTAGCTATTTTCTGTCTTATTTTCTGTCTCCTTTTTCTATCAAAATCTTTTCAGAGTCCTGTCCGGTATCACGATGATTTCGATGCATATGATTATGGAAACTACGATCAATATGAAAGAGACGATTATTATGGAGAAGAACGGAGTGAAAGAGATCAAAGTCGAGGAGGAACCGGGCAAGGCGATTATGAGACAAATCAAAGGAAAAATGGTGGAGCAAGTGGAGCAAGTGGAGCAAGTGGAGCACATAAGGGTCTGTTAGTCTAGTCTTTAGTCTAGTTTTTAGTCTTTTATCTTTTTCTAGACTTAAATCTATTCAATTTAGTACTGTAGTTGGCCTAGGAAGTACCGTAGTAGCCTAGGGAGCACTGTAGTGAATCTAGGTAGTACTGTAGTTGACCTGGGGTACTGTAGTTGGTCTAGGGAGTACTGTAGTTGACTTGGGGGTACTGTAGTTGGCCTAGGGAGTACTGTAGTAGCCTAGGGAGCACTGTAGATAATCTAGGTAATACTGTAGTTGACTTGGGGGTACTGTACGTTGACCTAGGAAGTACTGTAGTAGCCTAGGGAGCACTGTAGTTAATCTAGGTAGTACTGTAGTTGACCTAGGAAGTACTGTAGTTGGTCTGACTAGTGCTGTAGTTGGTCTATCTAGTACTGTAGTTAGCCTAGATAGTACTGTAGTTAATCTAGGTAGTGCTGTAGTTAGGCTAGAAGCCGTAGATCAACCGTTGGTAGTACTGTAAGGTAGTTTACCGTGGCGTGCTTGAATATCAAAGAAATAGTGCACTAATTGAAATTGAAATATTCAAATATTCTAGGGAATGTGAATTTCGGCGCCTGGGAAGGCGAGGATACTTATGAAGCGCCTCCACGACGCGTTCATCAAATTGAGGTTCGTTTAATCGTCAACGAAATTGGAAATCCAATTCAAAAGCTATTATTAATCTTAAGAGCTAAGTTCTACAAGAGTAAACACAAATAAATCGAATTATTAAGTTTCAGATTGACAGCTATGGAGCTCACGATGATTCAAAGTATGGATATCGAGATGAAAGCCGTAGAAGTAATGTTCGGTTAGTTTAAAAAGTTAAAAGCTATCGAAAATCTTATAAACTTTTTTATAACTTAAAGATTATCTTCTAGACTATTAATTTATCTTCTAGATTTTCAACTTTATCTATTTAGTAAAGCAGAATCTAGCAATTTTAGCACTAGAGAGCCATCGCCGGTGAAACGAGTGAGAGAGGAGGAGCGCGCGAGTCCGGTCAAGGGATCGGTTAGGTGAATTTGAAGAAAGAATTGGAAGAAAGAATTGGAAGAAACAATGCCAATAGAACTTTATCAATCCCGAGAACGATTTCAACACAATAACGCTTTCAATTTTATAGAGATGATCGAATGGTGCGTGATTCGCGCGGTCGACACACCGAGGAAAATAGCCCAATTCCACCACCACCACCACCACCCAATGGTTACCCTGGATACGGTAATTTTAAATATTTCTATATTTCTATATTAATCTATAATCTCTGCTCACTATTTCCTTTTTAACGATTGAAATTCTCAGCCGGTATCCAGAACTTTCACACACCTGGCCAGAAGAAAGCGATGCAAGTAGAGAAACGAGAAAACGAGAATTCCAGGGTAAGACTGAATGGAAATTAGCTTTAGATAAGATTTAGATAAGGTTTAGATTAGCTTTAGATAAGCTTTAGATAAGATTTAGATAAGATTTAGATAAGATTTAGATAAGATTTAGATAAGATTTAGATTAGTTTTAGATTGGCTTTCGATTAGCTTTAGAGAAGCTTTAGATAAGCTTTAGAGAAGCTTTAGATTAGCTTTAGAGAAGCTTTAGAGAAGCTTTAGAGAAGCTTTAGATGAGCTTTAGATTAGCTTTCGATTAGCTTTAGAGAAGCTTTAGGATCTACTTTCCACTTTAGATTGTAAAAGTTTCAATTTAAAACATTTAAAACGTTAGATAAGCTTTAGATAAGCTTTTAATTAGCTTTAGATAAGCTTTAGGTTAGCTTTAGTTATCTTTAGATCAGCTTTAGATAGCTTTAGATAAGCTTTCGATAAGCTTTAAGATCTACTTTCAACTTGTATTGTAAAAGATTGTAAAAGTTTCAATTTAAAACATTTCTGAAGTAAAAATTCCTTTCAGCTTGTCGTCAAGAACACGACGATTTCGATCGGTCCAACACCAGCAGCGCCAGCAAAGGTAAATCAATCTTTAAAAATCAATCAATTAGATCAATCTTTTATTAGAAATTTATATATTAAAAGAGATTATGGTACGTTTAGAGAACGAATTTTGAGTTGTCGCCTGATCGTCGCCCTGCTCCGCCTCAACATGGACATACTGGAGGACCAGTGAAAGCAATTCTTAACGCAATCAAAATGACAAACACGAGAGATACTTTGCCTAGAGGAAAAGAGACTTATGAGGAAAAGGTGCAAAAGGAGAATCAGGTTAGAAATGTTAGTTTTTCAATTTGTTTGAGCTTTTATTACCTTTCGTTTGCGACTTTAGGATTCTGACTTGGCTTTTGCCTTTTCCTAGATGTTAAGAATATAGCTAGTTGCATAGTTAAGCATAGAGCTAGCTGCATAGTTAAGAATAGAGCTAGTTGCATGGTTAAGCATAGAGCTAGCTGCATAGTTAAGCATAGAGCTAGCTGCATAGTTAAGCATAGAACTAGCTGCATAGTTAGGCATAGAGCTAGCTGCATAGTTAAGCATAGAGCTAGTTGCATAGTTAAGCATAGAGCTAGCTGCATAGTTAAGCATAGAGCTAGCTGCATGGTTAAGCATAGAGCTAGCTGCATGGTTAAGCATAGAGCTAGCTGCATAGAGCTATAGAACCATATCAAGCCTATGATCTAGTTTTGACACAGCTCTGATAAAACAGCAGTTTATCAAGTCACAAAGTTATCTTCAAAATTGATAATCATTCGCTGCTCAATCAATAATTTTCAGCAAGAACGCTGTGAAGATATTAAAATGCTGTCAGCTCAAAGTAAAGTCTCAACGAATCCCTTTATGAAAAGCAATGAGAGAAAATCTGGAGGAGCATCGGTGCGGCACGATCCACCCACGAGGCCACACAATGTTCATGAGGTAGTTGAAATCTCCAATCAAAACAGAAGAGATAGTTTGTCTAAAATCAGGTTTCTTTTAAGAAACGGAGGTTACCGTAACTTGTAAGATTACGGCAGTCAAAGAGTTGCTGAAGAGCTGGGTTACAGTAGTCAAAGAGCTATTGAAGAGCTGGGTTACGGTAGTCAAAGAGGTACTGAAGAGCTGGGTTACGGTAGTCAAAGAGTTGCTGAAGAGCTGGGTTACGGTAGTCAAAGAGCTATTGAAGAGCCGGATTACGGTAGTCAAGGAGGTACTGAAGAGCTGGATTACGATAGTCCTGGAGCTATTCAAGAGATGGATTACGGTAGTCAAGGAGCTATTGAAGAGCTAGGCTACGCTAGTCAAAAAGCTATTGAAGAGCTGGGTTACGTCAAAGAACTATTGAAGACTGGATTACGGTAGCTCTATTTCTAGGTGGTCCACAAGATGAACACCGGTGACTGGCCGATCAAATTGGAAGACGGGAACGAGAGCTTTCGAGAGCACAGGTTAATGAATAAATAATAAAATGACTTATCTAATAAGATCTAACATTTTCGCAATCTATTTTACAATCTATGAGCTAAAAATCGAGTTTCAGACAGGATCGAAGCTATTCGCGGGGAAATGAACGTGATCCGCCAGCCATTCCGGCTCACGAGAGAACCAGGAGAGTCACCATGGATGAGGTTGTAAAAGTTTTCAGTTAGAGGATGCTTTTGTAAACTTTATTCACTTTTTTATAAAAAAATGTTTAGAATGAACGGCGTTATGCTGAGGAACAACGGATTCGAGAGGAGGAACGTCGCAGAGATGAGGAAAGAACAAGACAGCTTGAGGTTTGAGTTTACCGTAGTTCTCGATCCTATCTATACGTTCTATTTCTCTAATCAATTTCTAATCATACAGATCAGCTCAGTAAGATCAGCTCAGTAAGATCAGCTCAATAAGATGAGCAAGATCAGTAAGATCAGCAAGATCAGCAAGATCAGTAAGATCAGTAAGATCAGCAAGATCAGTAAGATCAGCAAGATCAGTAAGATCAGCTAGATCAGCAAGATCAGTAAGATCAGTCAGATAGATCGATCACCAAGATCAGCAAGATAGAGCGATCACCAAGATCAGTAAGATAGATCGATCAGTTCTCGATTTTGATCAAGCCAACTGTGGCTGATCATATTAGATATATTAGCTCTAGATTTTAAACTATTAGATTGTTCGGATATAAACAAGCGTCGGCACTGCTTAACTCGTGAGGAAGCCATTTCCCGCATCAATCGAGCCAGGCTCGGCATCGGCTTTCGGACAAAAAAATCATTCCCAAACCAAATCTCAATGAGATTCCGCTACTGTTTTGCCCAGTTTGAAGTCGTAAAGTAGGCAGACGTGAACTTTATATATAAAGTACGTTATCTTGTGCATATTTGAAGTTGGTCATCTTAAATCTTAATCTTAAAATCATCTTAAAATCATCTTAAAATCATCTTAAAAATAAAGAAATTATCCATTTAAAAAGCTTTCAAATATGCACAAGATAACGTATTTTTAAATACAGAAAGACATTGGAAAGAGAAAAGAAAACGTCAAACTGGCAAGGGGAATTGCTTTCGGAAGAAAAGGAGGAAAAAAAGGAGAAAAGAATGAATACATTTGGCTTTATGAAGAGTGAAATAGAGTCGACTTTGATCTACTATCAAAATTTGGCTCAAGATACTGAACTCCAGTACAAGGTGTGCTTGTTTTTATTAAGAAAACAATTTACAGAATGGGTAGATAAACTCACTAGTTACTGTAATTGAGACAAAAGAAACTGTAAAGACTGGAAAGTCTGTGTAAACTCACCAGAATCACTCACCAGAATAAGTTTAGCAACGCTTGTTTATATCCGAAAAAAATCCGAAACCTAATAAATCTTTTAGGAGCAACGCCGTCGCGAAGAGCAAATGAAACAGCGTGAACGAGATCGACAAGATGAAAGACGACGAGAAGATGAAAAGAGAAAAGATGATGAAAGAATTGAGGTGGAAAGGAGACAAAGAGAAGAGGAGAGGAGAATGAATGAGGTGTGAGCGGCTTTTTGCCTTTGTCAGTCAAGCAATCAAGCAATCAAGTTCATTTGTAGCTTAGTAAACAAGAAATTGATTTACCTTTGCAATAAATATCTTTTAGGAACGTCGAAAGGAGCAAGAGCGTCGAGAGGAAGAAAGGAGACAAATCGAGGTGAAATCAGTGCCCTAAAAAGTGAAAGTGTTCAAATTTTTAAGCAAAAATTCCATCTATTAGATCTTTTTTAGATTCTAGATTAATATTTAAACATCTAAACAATCTAAATAATGTAAAGATTTCAGGAACAACGCCGTCGAGATGAGGAACGTCGGAGAGATGAAGAAAGAGATCGAGCTGCGAGGGAAGATGATGAAAGGCAAAGGAAATTGACTCAAGTAAGAAATGATTAAGATTTACAGTAGTTTATTTAGTTATTAAGCTTTAAGTAGCAAGATGAAGTTCAATTATTCATACTAAACTAATTCCGGTTAAGGAAAGAATTGAACTCGAGCGTATTTCTTTGGAAAAACGCCGCGACGAGGAGAAAGCGAAAGAAAGAGCTCGCCAAGAACAGGTAGGAGAGTTGGAAAGAAGAGAAATAGACAGATAATTAGTAGATAGACAGATAAATAGCAGATAGACAGATAAATAGTAGATAGGCAGATAGTCAGATAAATAGCAGATAGACAGATCAATAGCAGATAGATGGATAGCAGATAGACAGATAAATAGTAGATAGACAGATAATTAGCAAATAGACAGTTAAATAGTAAATATATTAAACCAAGAAGATAAATAAGCCAAAAGCAAAAGAATTCTCTCAGATAGGGGCGAGCTTTCAACAGCGCTTTCAGAGTGAGCTAGGTTCATCATCAAAGAGAAATCCGGTCTCTCCCATTTGGGAGAGCCTCCTTTTTAAGACCTCCTCCCTGCCCGTGTGCCAGAAAGCGCGCGATTATGGGCGCGCACAGAGAACAGAGTCGAAAGACCCGCATTTGCTTTATTTTTCTATTTTATTCTAATTTTTGTATTATTAAATCTAGATTTTGATATTCTAAATTATTCTAGATTAATTCTAGATCAATTCTAGATTATTTCTAGCTTAATATTTCTAAATCTAAATAGTCTAACGTCTCTAGGAAGAGAAAGAGGGTCGTCGAAGTGCCGACTCGCAACAAGATGATCCAATTGGTAGATCTCGAGGACCATCACGAGCTCAAAAAAATGCTCGTACGCTTTTTGGATATTATTAAGAATATTATGAAGATAATACAGTAATAAAATCGTCTTTTCAAAAGCGATTTTCAGCTTCTCCATCTGGCTCTTCACAAGGCGCTGACCCAACGACAGCTTCAACCGATTCAGCGATGGGAAGCGATGAATTACCTCCATCAATGGCACCGATTAAGGTTTAAATATTTTAAAACTGTTTTAGCTAATGATTAATGCTCAAAAAGTACTATAAATCTATTATTTCTATTTTATATTCTCCAATGAGCTCAAGTCGGCCTATCACCAACGATCTGCTTTTTTTTTGACACTTTTAAAGCACAAAATATTTTCCTCATCTAATTTTCTTTGTTATAAATATAAGTTTAGATAAAAAGCTCTCTATTTAAGAACTAAATTAACTTTTCAAATTTCTCAGGCAAGTTTCCAAGCTGGAACAATGGTTCGTCACTTGCCTGAGTCGATTCGTGAACTCAACGATGAAGCCGAACGCCTTCTTCTTTATTTCAAAGGACACCGTGAAGTCCTCAATTATTTAGGTCATTTTCATGAAATATAAGATGAAATTTTGAGATTTCCAAATAGATTTGTCTATATTATTCTATATTTTAGGAATTGGCCTCTCAGAAACTCTCTGGAGTCATATGAGCGCTTTACCAATGCTTCACACTGAGATCCGATGTCAGGGAATGGTTAGTGGTTAAAATTTGATTTGTTTAAATCATTAACAAGTTTAAAGTACAAATTTTAAATCATTAAATGCAAATTCCAGAAGGAAATCCCAATGCAATTACGAAAATCCGATCGCGATATTCGAAGCTTGGCAAGAGAAAAGGTAAAAAGATTTAAGATCTTTATTGAAGCTTTAAGAGCTTTAATAAAGGCTTTAAGAGCTTTATTAAAGGCTTTAAGTGCTTTATTAAAGCTTAGGCTTTAAAAAGCCCTAAGGCTTTATTAAAGGCTTTAAGAGCTTTAATAAAGCTTTAAGAGTTTTGATAAAGCTTTAAGAGCTTTAATAAAGCTCTTAAAGCTTTAAGAGCCTTATTAAAGCCCTTAAGTGCTTTATTAAAGGCTTTAAGAGCTTTAATAAAGCTTTAAGTGCTTTATTAAAGGCTTTAAGAGTTTTATTAAAGGTTTAAGAGCTTTAATAAAGCTTTAAGAGCTTTAATAAAGCCCTTAAGTGCTTTATTAAAGGCTTTAAGAGCTTTAATAAAGCTTTAAGTGCTTTATTAAAGGCTTTAAGAGTTTTATTAAAGCTTTAAGAGCTTTAATAAAGCTTTAAGAGTTTTATTAAAGCTTTAAGAGCTTTAATAAAGCTTTAAGAGCCTTATTAAAGCCCTTAAGTGCTTTATTAAAGGCTTTAAAAGCTTTATTAAAGCTTTAAGCGTTTTGATAAAGCTTTAAGAGCTTTATTAAAGCTCTCTAGAACCCTATTTTCTGTCAACTTTTCTATCTATTGAATCTATTTCCTTTAAAATCGTTCTTCAAATTTCAGTTTGAACCGAATCGCCCACAAAATAACGTGCCATCGATCGATGCAAAGGTACCGCTCATCCCTGTGAAACGTTTCTTTGCTTGAGAGTCATTTTATAACTAAAATTTCCCAGAAATTTTAGATTTAAACAACAAAAAAATGTTTAAACTTTTAAAAAGACCTTTTTAAAATCAAAAAAGATAATATTTTGTGGTAAATTTGTAACGAAAACAGGTTGATCTTTTTTCTCATTGGCTAAAGGTTTTTCGTGTTTTTCTCACAGCATAAACCATTTTGTTTTGATTATTTTGACTATTATTTGATGTAGAATCAAATTACGCGTCGAATGATACCAAAAATAACTTAAAAGATAATATCTATGCAAAGTTATTGGCTAAAAACCTAAACCCCGCCTATTATGGACTGGAGCTAACCTTTTGCTCTTATAACTTTGCATGTATATTATATTTTAAGTTGTTTTTGGTATCATTTGATGCAGAATAAAATTACGCGTCGAATGATACCAAAAACAACTTAAAAGATAATATCCATGCAAAGTTATAAGAGCAAAGGCTAGCTCCCGTCCATAATAGACGAGGTTTAAGCTTTTAGCTAATCACTTTGCGTGTACATTATATTTTGAGTTGTTTTTGGTATCATTCGACGCGTAATTTTATTCTGCATCAAATAATAGTTAAAATAGTCAAAACAAAAAGGTTTCTGCTGAGAAAAACACGAAAAACCTTTAGCCAACGAAAAAAAAAGGACCGAATGTTTTGTTACAAGTCTGACAGCTCCAAAAAAAGAAAGTAAGCAATTTTTTTTTGCTAATTAGCTCTAATATTAAGACAAAGTTTATTTTTTCTTCTAAATAAACCCGAAAAGTGTGATGATTTTGAAATGTTTCTTTGAAACTTGCTGTGTTTATCCCTTTCACTCCCATGTACACCACCGGGCCTATTGAAGCACCCCGAAATAATGAAGAATAGAAATTTGTAGAAATTTGATTAGTAAACTGAAGTAAATGACATTTTACTTTAATAATAGATTCGTTTTTTTGGGAGCGGGACAAATGCGACCTTTTTTTTGCGCACCTGGACATTTGCGCACCTTTTTTTGCTGGAAAAGGCCTTAGGAAAGGGCGTAGAGCTTCAAAAATGTTTTCATATAAGGAAACCGTATGCGTAGATTCCGAATTTCGACAAATCACACCTCGCTGACACGTCAAATTTGGGCTAAAAGGCAAAAACTACGCAACTTAACGCTTGTTCCGTAGTTTTTGCCTTTTAGCCCAAATTTGACGTGTCAGCGAGGTGTGATTTGTCGAAATTCGGAATCTACGCATACGATTCCCTTCTATGAAAACATTTTTGAAGCTCTACGACCTTTCCTAAGGCCTTTTCCAGCAAAAAAAAGGTGCGCAAATGTCCAGGTGCGCAAAAAAAAGGTCGCATTTGCCCACCCCCGTTTTTTCAATTTTCTTTGAGTTTTGAAGTGGAAAATATGGATTTTTTTTGGTGGAAAAGTGAGATTTTCGTTTCCTTTTTCGTTTGTTTGTTTGAAAATTGTTAAATTGTGAAATTTTTTAATTTCTGGCGGAGCTTCAATAAGTCTAATCAAAAATTTGCCTTTGACTGAACCATTTTTCTTCTTTTTTTTTGATAAATTTTATAATTTATAATTGGGTTTTCGGATACGGCTTTTGGTTGGGCTTTTTATGAACAGAAATAAAGCATTTTTGAGTCTTGGACTTATTGAAGCTCTTTCTTTTTAAATTCAACGAAAATCGCATATCCATCAGAAAAAAAACATAAACAGACACAATTAGATCAACTAGATCAGCAATTAGAAAAAGTCTGACTTTCTTTATCCTGCACAAGTGATAAAATAGAGTTAATCGAAGCGGTATTCTTGAGAACTTTGAGCTCAAATGAGATCGAACTTCGAGCTCAAATTTCTTGGTGTTGAACTGTTCGATTTATCAATCATTAGCATCATTAGATGCGATAAGCCTTTCTCTATCGATTGATATAAAAACTATTCATATTGAACAGCGAAACACTAAGAAATTTGAGCTCAAAGTTAGATTGGGAAAAGAGTGGCGCGTGTCAAGTGTCAATGCTCCAAAATGCCGTGAATGTGTATCCGGCTGTCATACGTACTGCAGAAGGATTGTAGTCTAAGCCTAAGTCTAAATTTAATCCTAAGCCTAAACTTAAGAGAATCACCGAAAAATCCCAAAGGAACAGTCTTAGCCAAGACTGAGTCCAAGCCCAAGCCTAAGTCTATTCCTAAGTCTAAGCCTAAATCAAGCCTAAGCCTAAGCCTAAACCAAGCCTAAGCCAAAGCCTGAGCCAGCCTAAGCCTAAGCCTATGCCTAAACCAAGCCTAAGCCTAAGCCTAAACTCTAGCTTACATTATACGAAATTGTCGTTTGACACCATGATGACCGAATTGAAAGGGCACAATCGGGTAAGAATGAAACGAGAACAATCGCCAAGATGAACATCCCCAACTACAGTAATCAGAATCAAACATCAAATGTATCAAATGTATAAAGATCAATTCTGAATTAGTCAACAAATTGCTAGATAGATAGAACCAAGCCTGTCATTGAGTTTAAACCAAAAATCCAATCTTTTAGCACCTTGAAAGTCGTCGACCGTCCGCCGAATCATTCGGCTCGGTGAACACCTCATTGTTGGAGAAAGCTCTTTGCACGGATGATGTGAATGAAGGACTGAGGAGGACACAGGTAAAGATGAATTAAGGAATTGAGGAATAAAGGAATAATTGTAATTACGTGCATTTAAGTAATAAGTAACTGAAGACAAGTTTGTTCGATCGATTTACTATAAAGACGAGACTTTAGACAATCTAGGATTTACTTCAGGCTAACTTAGGCTCAAAATTTGTTGACTAGCGACTTGTCATCCTCAAAATCTCCAATCTTAGTTTCAGTCGTCATCGGCTTTAGCCACATATAGCCCTCAGGGAGTTCAAGGGATTCTCCCGCTCGCACCGCCGCCAAACCTTAACGCAGCCCACGAGAGGTGGCAGTTTTGGAAAAAGTATCGCACTCCTACCCCATTTGTGAACTGTCGACTCTCACTTTTTACTTATGCTTACTGTACTTTCATTTGGCTACTCTATTAGCCTAGCTATAGCTACTCTATTAGCCTAGCTATGGCTACTCCATTAGCCTAGTTATGGCTACTCTATTAGCCTAGCTATAGCTATTTCTAATAGCCTAGTTATGGCTACTCTATTAGCCTAGCTATGGCTACTCCATTAGCCTAGCTATGGCTACTCTATTAGCCTAGTTATGGCTACTCTATTAGCCTAGTTATGGCTACTCTATTAGCCAATTTTACTACCATTTTTATCTCATAAAGATTTAGTAAAGCTCTAACATCTTCAGCTCTAACAATTTCCAGAAACAAGCTTTTCTTGATTGCACTCATCTATCCAAAATTCACCAAACTTCACCAAACTTTATTAACCATACTCTAACACTGAAAATCTAACAGTTTCCCATTCTAGAAGTGGCCGCTTTATGAAAAAATCGGCGGCAGCGATCATCGCAAAGAAACAACACGAGAGTGGAAGTCCGTCACAAGGGAAACGATCAGCGATTGTCAGTTTTCAAACAGAGATATTAGAAATTTAAAAAAGAAATAACAAAAAGCCTTTAACAAGCTTTTAACAAGCTTTTAACAACACCAGCTAACCCTTTTCAGAATCTTGATGGTCCGCCAAGTGGAGTACAACGATCGGCGAGTGGAAACGAGATGTGAGTTTGACTGATTGTTTTTTTTGAGAAATCACCGTGCAAACTTTTTTCGAGAACTTTCTTTTCAATCTAATATAAAAAGCTGACAAAAATAGTACCTCTGAACAAAGTTATAGGCCTTCAAAGCGTTCTCATTCAAAATACCCGAAAACTTTGAAAATAGCCAGAAAACTCGACAAGAGCCTAAGATATTCATTAGCCAATTTGTCTAAAGGCTTGTCTAAAGGCTTATCTAAAGGCTGGTCACTCAAAGCCGAAGCCTTTGTTCGATCATTCCTCAGTGTTTGATCATTCCTCAGTGTTCACACCGATTGTTCAGCGATAGTTTCTGTTTTTTTGTCTGTTTTTCAATAGGATAGAAACGGAAAACAAAACTTAAAACGAAATGTTTTAGAACGAAATGTTTTATAATGAAAACCCTGACAAATTTTGCGGGAATTGGTAATTAATTGGGAAGTTAGTTTCAGGAATATTGCGATCGTGCACCCTAGCCCAAAATCAATGATCGCTTACGAGCAATTTCGACGAAATTTGGAAGACGAACGAGAGAAACAAATTCGAGAAGAGAGGGAAAATGAAAGAAATGAAAGAAATGAAAGAAATGAAAGAAATGAGAGAGATGGATATGCAAAATATAAAAGAGATTCAAAAAAGCAACGAGATGAGCCACATAATGGGAGAAAGCGATCCGAGGAGTGCAAGGTTGACTTTTTAAAGTCTATTTCCTTTAAATTTTTAAATTCTTAAACTTTAAAACATTAAAACTTAAGACTTTGAATCTTTAGAAATCTTTAGAAACCTTTAGAATTCTTTAGAAATCTTTAGAAAGCTTACCAGATAAGTTTACTTCTGAAAACTCACTGCAAAGACATATCCAAAAGCTAGTGTCAACCCTGGGAGCACAGTGTTTCGAATGATTGCTGTAGCTGACATTCTTCAGTATTTTAAGGGTTTAAAAATAGGTTCTGAAAGGTTTTGAAAGCTTTAGAAACCTTTAGAAATCATTAGAAATCATTAGAAATCTTTAGAAATCTTTAAAAACCTTTAGAAACCTTTAGAAACCTTTAGAAATCTTTAAAAACCTTTAGAAACCTTTAGAAACCTTTAGAAACCTTTAAAACCCTTTAAAAACCTTTAGAAACCTTTAGAAATCTTTAGAAATCTTTAGAAATCTTTTAAAAGAAATAGGTGAACTTTTTAGAAACTCTAAAACGCTTTAAACAAAATTTATCGGCTAAAATACTCAATGATGTCAAAAAAAGCGACTAAAAATCGCTCAAATCCATCATTTTTGAAGTTCTTGGGCAATTTTTTGATACTGTAAATAGAGAAAGAAATAGAATTGTTAGAAAAAGAACTAAAAAAGAACTAAAAAAAGAATTGCAATTTTCAGTACGATACAGTGAACTCAGAGACGCCAATCCTCGAACGGGAAGCCTATTTTACTTATGAGAACACGCGTAAGGGAAAGGTTTTGTTTTAATTCGCAATTATCTAATCGATTTCTTTTTTTCTATTTAATAGATTTAAGAGATCTAATAGTTCATTTACAAGTAAATCTTTAGGAATTTTACAAAACAAATCCGGATATCGAGTACAAGCGTGGTGAAAGCGGCGAAATCGATCGCACTCCACGTCCAAGAGATTCACAGGTGATTTTTTTATTAGGTCGCTGTGTTCGAGCTACCCTTATCAGTCTAGCCTTAAATGGTCTCTGTGATCAAGTCTAGCCTTAAATATCCCGTCCTCAAGTCTAGCCTTAAATGTCTCTGTGATCAAGTCGCCTTGTCCCTGTGATCAAGTTTGTTAAATATCCCTGTACAAGTCTAGCCTTAAATGTCGCTGTGATCAAGTCTAGCCTTAAATATCTCTATCATCAAGTCTAGCCTTAAATATCCCTGTCATCAAGTCTAGCCTTAAATGTCTCTGTGATCAAGTCTAGCCTTAAATATCTCTATCATCAAGTCTAGCCTTAAATATCCCTGTCATCAAGTCTAGCCCGTACTTTGTGCCCTGCAAACGTAGCCTCTTTTGCGCACCAATCTTATCCAAATTGAAATATAAAAAACTTAAGTGTGCCAGGAAGTGGACTTTTGTTAGAGCACAAATGAATTGGATTCAATACAAATCGTTAGAACCGTTAAGTTTAGCTGATACTTTGTACTCTTGTAAACGTAAACTCTTTGGCGTACATTTTGAGAATTAAATGGACCTAACATTATGCGCTTGTTGGAGCATAAAGTACAAAGAAAAAGGTACAAAGAAAAAGGTACAAAGAGTACAAAGAATCCAAGAGATTCACAAGTGATTTTTCAATCAAATTTTTTCGAAGAATCTACTCTAAATCTATTATCTAAACAATCTAAACATTGCTTAAACGAAATTTGCATATAATTTTTTGATTTCATTAGCATATAAACCTTTTTTTTTAAAGCCATACGGCCGCGAGCTGTGGATTCGCGACTCGTTGGGACGGCGTCAGTCAAAGGTCGGTCAACAGATGATTAGGTGATTTTTTTAAAGATGAAAATACCCATTCTTGTTTGCATGCAATTAATATCTACTAATGAAATTTCGGTTTTTTAATTTTATTACAATAATTTTGTTTTTTTGCCTTTTTAGCGCCTATCAAAATCAGGCAGCACACAGAGAGTGGATCAGCCCGTATCGCGTCAAGCCAGGTCTAAATTTACTTCAAAATCTATCAATTTTACTGTCAGTATTGGGTTTTAGAAAAGATCGCCTTTGAAACTACCGAAATCGGGCTGGATTTGCATAGAATTTGCATAGAGTTTGCATAGAGTTTGCATAGAGTTTGCATAGGATTATTCAGCTGGACTTTAGACTATTCAGCTGGCAAGTTAAAGTATTGAAAGAGACAGAATCCCAGACAAAGAGAGTCACGATCATCGCTGTTATCAGCCACTTGGAAGGCGTGCTGGTCTAGACACGTATAGCTCAGTGGTAGAGCTTTCGGCTAGAAAGCGAAGGGTGGCTTCAATCCAGGGGTTCGAGACCCGGCGTCTTTTTTTGAGCATAACATCACTTCTTTGACATCTTGAATTGTTTTTGCTTTCGAGAGCTGCTTTACTGTACGATAGCTTTTCCCTGTGCGATAGGTTTTCCCTGTACGATACCTTTTCCCATTTTTAGAGAACAAAAGTCTATTGCACGTCCTAAAGTCCAAAGTCCAAGTCTATTGCACGTCCAAACAAGTCCAAAGTCCAAAGTCCAAGTCTATTGCACTTCCAAACCAGTTTAAAATCCAAAGTCCAAAGTCCAAAGTCCAAGTGTATTGCACGTCCAAACAAGTCCAAAGTCCAAAGTCCAAGTCTACTGCACGTCTAAAGTCTTGTACCTAGATAATTACTTAACTAAGAAGTACATAACAACAAGTAACATTACATTTTTCAGCCCGTGGCGTGCCCGTTCCCAATGCAAGTATGGGCCGATCGGTCTCTAGGAAATCGATTCGAAAGAGGGATTCGGTGAGTCAAATTTGTAAAGGATTCATAGATTTAGGAGATATTCAATAGCAAATGATCTTTTATAATTCTAATTTACTATTTTACATTTGAAGGTTCGTCGTAAAGACTCGCAACGTCGACGGAAACCCCGAGCCGCTGTCGCCTTCAGTCACATATTCACAAGCATTTTTTAAGCTTATATTTAACTTTCTATATTTTTTTCTTTTTCTAGTCATTTTTTTTGTATTTATATTTATCGATTTTGCTTTTTTCTTTTGCTTTTTTCTTATTTATCTTTTTCTTTCTTTCTTTTGCCTTTTTCTTTATTATCTTTTTCTTTCTTTCTTTCTTTCTTTCTTTCTTTCTTTCTTTCTTTATTTCTTTTACCTTTAATTTATTCTAAACTTATCTTGGTACCAAGTGCATTTCTCAAAAAAAATCAACCAAAATAAACCCCAAAAATTTTGTATAAAGATTGTATGAAAGTAAAAACTGACAATTTGACAATCTGATAATCTAATAAACAAAACCGACACAGACTCTAGCTCAAGAAACGGAAACACTCGTCTTCTAGTGCATTGAAAGAGCAATAATGAAAGAGAAGCAATAAAACTTGCTTTATTCAACCAACTGAACACTCGGTAATTAGTGAATAAAAGAGAGGAAATGTGGAAATCACCTTGACGACCCTGCAAAGAGAAAGATCGCGCACTTGCTCTCTTAGAGCGAACATCCAGCATCAAACCCATCCTTGAAAGAAGCCCATTTCCATTTCCATTTCCTGGCTTTCTTTTTCTTTCACTCACTTCAACTCATCTCTATTTTTTCTATTTTTCTCAAACTTTCTCCCTTTCTTTTCCTTCTTTCCCTCTTCCAATGGCCCCATTCAATCGAATCCTTTCGTTGGCCGATGTCCAGAAAAGGATTCACCAATTTGAGGAACAGGTTATTTAGTTATTTAGTTATTTAGATCTTTGGATATTTAGATCTTTAGATCTTTAGATCTTCAGTTATTTAAATATTCAGATCTTTAGTTATTTAGTTCTTTAGATCTTTGGTTATTTAGTTCTTTAGATCTTTAGTTATTTAGATATTTAGTTATTTAGTTATTTAGATCTTCAGTTGTTTAGTTATTTAGTTCTTTAGCTATTTAGTTATTTAGATATTTAGTTATTTAGATCTTTAGTTATTTAGATATTTAGATAAATTTTAGTTTTTGCTAGCTACTAGAGTCTCTGTCATCTCTGTGATCAAGTCTAGCCTTAAATATCTCTGCCACCAAGTCTAGCCCGTACTTTGTGCCCTGCAAACGTAGCCTCTTTTGCGCACCAATCTTATCCAAATTGAAATATAAAAGAATTAAGTGTGCCAGGAAGTGGACGTTTGTTAGAGCCCAAAGTAATTGGATTCAAAATCGTTAGAACCGTTAAGTTTAGCTGATACTTTGCACTCTTGTAAACGTAAACTCTTTGGCGTACATTTTGGGAATTAAATGGACCTAACATTATGCGCTTGTTGAAGCACAAAGTACAAAGAAAAAGTACAAATAAAAAGGTACAAAGCTTTCAACGTAAATTTTTCAGCTTAAAAAACTCGGAACCGAATCGCAAAGTCAGCCCAAAGCTACTATCGTTCGGCGAGTCGTTGATCTAGTGTAAGTTACCGTGTAAGTTACCGTATAAGTTATAAGCTAGTGTAAGTTACAAGCTTTAAACAAGCTACAGTGCTAACTACAGTACTTAATTATCAGTTGCCGTATTTTCTCTAATAGTAGTGCACCCTGAGCGTCGCCTAAATTCCTTGAAATCTCGAGGACCGCTTACCAGAACCTATCGATGTTGGGTCGAAAAATGTAGCTGACGATCAGATCTAGTAGGAGATTTGAGTGTTGAGCTTCTGCGAAAGCTTTGGCAACCGTAAAATAGACACCAACTCGGCTCGCCGGCGTGCACTACTATTAGAGAAAATACGGTATTCTTTTGTAATTGAAATCGATTCAAAATATCAATTGAGCACAAGCAATTTCTTCATTTGTTTTTCTAGAAAACAATTGGACGACTATCTGCAAAAAGTGGAAGCGATCCCACTCAGAAGTCTCGAGCAACAAGAACAAAAACAACAAGCACTACAAGCACTTCAGAATTTCAAGGTAATTTTCCATTTTCTGGTTGGCTTGCTGTTGCTATTATATTCCCGTTTCACCCAGCTTTCGATCCTGTACCTCAACAACTTTTAGACAAGAGCTCAATCGCTCTGTGGCGGAATCGAGATCAAAGCTCGTCCCACAAGCTCATCCTCAACGTGAGTTTCAAAATCTTTGGCTTATGATAGATAAGATAAGATCTTATAAGATCTTAGATTTAAGATCTAGGCTCTAAGCTCTAAGCTCTAAGATCTAAGATCTAAGATCTAAGCTCTAAGACTATAAGCTCTAAGATCTAAGATCTAAGATCTAAGCTCTAAGCTATAAGCTCTAAGATCTAAGATCTAAGATCTAAGCTCTAAGATAGCTTATTTCAATTCTCAAGCCAATGACAATTTTAGTACTCAAGTAGTTCAACAAGTTCCTCCAAAAGGAGAGCTGAAGCCACCGGAGAGGCCAAAAAGTGGAGTGCTGAGACGCGGCAGTGTTATGTATAATGAAGAGGTTCGAATCAAATAGAATCAAATAGAATCACATAGAATTATCGAATTCGAAACATATTAAAAGATCATAAACACTGAAAACAATAGAAACGTTCTAGGAATCAAGTTCGACTGATGACGAACGCAAATCAGAGGAGAGAGATCAAAAATTAGCCGCTTTACATGAAACGAGAGGTCCGTTTTAATGAAAATCGTAAACGTACCCTTTCTGGCGTACTGAATCTTTATTTTCCTTGGAGCAAATCTTTCAGAGAAAATGATGAATTGAGTGCGTCAAAAAGATGCATGAAGTTCTTTGATTGTATCAGAGAAATCTTTTCCAAAACATTGTGTCGGTAATAGAGCCGAGCTAGCTTTTCAGAGCTTCTATCTTAAAGCTTAAATCTTATCTTAAAGCTTAAAATCTATCATCAACTTCTTAACAATCTTATTTTAAAAAATTCTAGAAATCCCCGCAGCAAATCATCAAAAAAATCAATGAGTCAAGCGATGAGCGATGAAGAATTTGATGACTCTGAAGAGGAAGATAAAGAAGAGATTGAAAGAAGTGAACAAGACAATGAAATTACACAAAACTCAAGTAATTATCTAATTAGAAGAATCAAAATTGTATCTAGTTTTTGAATTGAACCAAAATCGATTAGGTTGGTGCAAAAGAAACTGCCGATTTGACGTTAAATTCGAAAAAAAGATGGCGTTCGATGGTGACATGATCACAATGAAATATTTTCGCAAGATCTCGAGCAGATTGGCATGGATCGGCCTCAATAACGCCCATTAGCTTGACTTCGTTCACGACTTCTGGCCTCGAACCGTGCTCGTAATCTTCCAAAGTCTCGTCTCCTTCTCGGAATCGTCGAAACCAAGTCTGACACTGCCTGAGAGACAAACTGCCATCTTCGAAAGCAGCACAGAGTGAACGATGCGTTCCAGTAATTCAAAGTACACCAAACCCTTGCTGTTCCACCATATAGTCAATAAGATCTTCTTCCCGTGGACTTCGGGCCTTGGGGTTGGAACAGCACGTTCGCCAGCGCTCAGCCACTGTCGTTCTCGCGTAAAGTTGTCGTATGCAATCCATTTCTCATCCGATGTCACGATAGAATCAATCAAGAGCTGATACCCATCGGCAGTTTCTTTTGCACCACCCTAATAAAGATCAATTTCATTTTCTTTAGATGCAAGAATCGGCTCTCCACGATCTCCAAGATCTCCAAGAAACGATCACCAGAAAGAGTTAAATGTTGTGGAGGGGAATCGTTTCTTCGTGAGTTTCTTTTTTTAGATTTTTTATCCCATAAAACTTAGCTATTATTTTAGCTTTAAATTATAAGTTAGATTCAAGTTTTGTATCTGAAAATGTCAAGAATCAATCTCTCAGGCACTCGCCGATTGGCAAGCTGAAGAGTCCGACGATCTCTCGATAAAAAAAGGCGATCTATTGAAAGTGATTGAGACGAGGTGAGTCGAAAATGATCATGAAGATAAAATAAGCATTCTTTTCAATGTTTTAAACCATTTAGAACAATAAAAGCTTTATAAATTGTTAAAAAGTTAGCCAGATTGTTGCTAGAGTTTAACTTCCTACAAATTGAATTGAAATAACAAAACTTAACTTAATCTTAACTGAAAACCTTTATCTGATATGTACAAGGTAGTACAAGGTAGTACAAGGTAGTACAAGGTAGTACAAGACAGTATAAGGCAGTACAAGGCAGTACAAGGCAGTACAAGGCAGTACAAGGTAGTGCAAGGCAGTACAAGGCAGTACAAGGTAGTACAAGGCCAAATCAAGTTTAGATTAAGTTATAGAAAACCAAGGCATCCAAGATCCTTATCCTAGCTCTAGTTCAATAGTTCTTTTAGAGTTGACGGTTGGTGGAAAGCACAAAACACGATGGGTGAAGAGGGAATGGTCCCAAAGACATTTCTCAAGCATTTCGATCCACTTGAAACTCCACCACATGAACATTTACAGCAATCTGTACAAGAGAGAAGAATTCAAGAACAATCGGTTTGACTAGAAGCACTCACTCGCCGCAATTATACTCTAGAATCAGCCTCAACAGTCACTGATCATTCCACAACCATTCATTCATCAAACGACTACACAAAACATCCAACAAATACCACCAATGCAATTTGTAAGTTTTGTGAGAGACGGGTATTCTCCCTTGTATTCCCTCTTTCTTCTCTTCCGAATAGATACCCGATAGCTGAGTGGTTAGAGCATCAGAAAGTAAAACTGTCGACCTCTCAGCGTTCAGGCTTCGATCCCTTCGCAAGTCTTTCTTTGCCATTTCAGATTTGAGCTTGATAGCCATCTTTTTTGTAGCTTGACATCTTGACAGCCATTTCAGAGCCTCACTCCAACCGTTTCTTGTCTTGGTGATGCTCTCTCTAGCGATCATCATCTCACCGCTGCTTGTCATTTGGCTCCAAGGCTAAGCGAGTCGAATTTAGCTTTTCATGATTTGTATTGGAATTTCAAAGATGATAAGGTAAAAAGTGACGCTAAGCTAAGCTAAAGCCAACAATAATTTCAGCTCCGAAAACGCTATGTTCGCGTTTCAAAACTCGTTCGACTCATTCGCGTCGAAGGAATGGAAAATCGACAAAGCGCGCAAGCGAATCTGCTAAGAATTGCACTTTTCGACTTGTCAAGAAGAACGGGAAGGCAAATTGTACGTTTGGATTTGTTTTAAGTCGAAATCTTTACAAAAAACAATGCCTATGCTTATGTCAAATCAAAAATGACTTATAAACAAAATTTCAATCATTTCTAGGTCAGCAATGTGCACACAATTTGCGCTAATAACGAAGCCGGCAATTGGACTTTTTCGACAAAAGTTTGTTTTTTGGAAAAAATGAAACGAAAATTCTAATTCAGAGCTTTAAAATCTTTAAAAGCAACTTTTAAATAGCAGCCTTTAAATAGCTACTTTTGAATAGCAGCTTTTGAATAGCAGCCTTTAAATAGCTACCTTTGAATAGCTACTTTTAAATAGCAGCCTTTAAATAGCTACTTTTGAATAGCAGCTTTTAAATAGCTACTTTTAAATAGCTACCTTTGAATAGCTGCTTTTAAATAGCTACTTTTAAATAGCTACTTTTAAATAGCTACTTTTAAATAGCTACTATTAAATAGCAGCTTTTAAATAGCTACTTTTGAATAGCTACCTTTGAATAGCTATTTTTAAATAGCTACTATTAAATAGCAGCCTTTGAATAGCTACTTTTAAATAGCAACTTTATTGAATTCATCTCCAGATTGACAGCACATTAGATGTTTTCCATTTCTCTGATGTACTTATTCGATCGAACTATCAACAATCGAACATCGTACTCGTCATTGAAGCGTCGATTATTGAGGATCAAGTAACAATAATCATTACACTTTCCCAGCCATTTAGAAAGCTTTTCACTTGCATTTAAATTCCATTTTAAAACGTATTGCCTCTTAAATTGCCTTTTAAATGGCATTTAAATTATTTATTGAATTTTAAAATTATATAAAAAACAGCTTTTATCTGTTTATCCAAATTTCAGTCAGGATTTCCAAGAGAAATCTCTCTGGGTGTCGCCAAGTTGCCTCTGCTCTCCGATCAAGGTGTTGTTCGTCTCACGAATAGGTTTGAATCCAAATTTTCACTCATTTCAATAGATTCTTAATGTCTGAATAGATTTTTAAGCAAATATCCTCATTGAGAGAATCTAAATTTTGTCGTCAGAAGTTGAAGAACCCGCATAACATGAGTTTTTCTGTCTCGTTCTTTTGAGTCTCCGTGGCGCTGTCGGTTGCGCGCTCAAACGGTCCTGGTTCGACCCTCCGTAGTGGCGCTCAATCTCAGCTTTTTTATTTTTCACTTTAACTAGCATAACTATATCATATTTTGAGACTTTTCAGTTTTTTTGGACAGCTGAGAAATAGACAGACAGGGTTTTATATACAGGGTACTCTAAAAAAGTTTTCAAACCAGAATTTCTCAGATTTTCTGGTGGTGAAAGTGAATATGCTCTCAAATTTCATTTTTTCACAAAAACACAATCACTCACTGGTGCCATCATGATCACCATGAGATCATTAATTGGGCAAACATTTTGGGCAAACATGAGATCATTAATTGGACCATAAAATGGAGACTTTCTACTGGCATCGTGATGTGGTATTAGATCTAATATGTAAACTAAGATTATTAATGAAACAGTTTCTTGATTAGAAGCTTCTTGAAAAAACTAGATCTTTCTTTGAAGGCGGTGAGTTGAAAGAGCTTGATTTAAGCTTTATGTAAGAGAGATCAGTGCATGTTGTGGACTAATAATCTTTTTGGATAATAATCTGTTTGGTTAATAATCTGGAGATAGTATTGATTAGAAGTTTCTTGAAAAAAACTAGATCTTTCTTTGAAGGCGGTGAGTTGAAAGAGCTTGATGTAAGCTTTATGTAAGAGAGATTAGTGCATGTTGTGGACTAATAATTTTTTTGGATAATAATCTATTTGATTAATCATCTTTTTAGTTAATAATCTGTTAAAAAATTGCTAAAAACTGTTTTTTCTTTTTTTTTGAGCACAAACGATCCGAATCCTACAAATTCTAGAACCTACACTGAAATGTTGATTCGAGAAAATCTCTTTGATCGAACGAATCCAGGTTGATTTTTTCTTTTTAACTTTTAAAGAACTAAAAGGATATTCAGGTATTAAAACGAACTTCCGTCTAGTGTTTAAAGTGATGGATGTGCCGACGGATTTGGTGCAATACGTTGAGTAAGAGATTTGAAGATATTCAATCTTTAAGATTGAATTTAAGACTAAGATATTATCATTGAATACTATAAGATCTTTTCATCTTATTCATTTCATTCATTTGATCCATTTGATTCATTTTCATTCATTTTTTCATTTCATTCATTTGAACTTTTCAGTTCCCTCCCTGACATTCTTCTCTTTCAACCGCCATTTGCTCGATTGGCTTTCTTTTATCGACGACGCCTTGCCGAAGCTTTAATCAGGGATAAAGAGAATCCAGTTTCATCAGGTAAATGAAATCTTTTTCTTACCGAAAGCTTAAAGAAGAGAAGAATAGATTTAAGGTCTATCACAATAAAAGCTTTAAATTAAGATGATTAATATCATTAATATCATTTATATCATTAAGATCATTTATATCATTAATATCATTAAGATCATTAAGTTCATTAAGCTCATTAAGATCATTAAAATCATTAAAATCATTAAAATCATTAAGATCATTAAGATCATTAAAATCATTAAGATCATTAAGATCATTAAGATCATTTAGAACATTTAGATCATTAATATCATTAATATCATTAAGATCATTAAGACCATTAAGATCATTATCATTTTTTAGAGCTTCTCTACGATCCATTTCTTGCCTCTTTTCCTCGAGCTTTTGATCAACCGGATCTCCTCGACTATTGTAGAAAAACATTTCAGCATAAACTCAAACAAATTGTAAAGGTCAGCTTTTAAAAAAGTAAAACCTAGTTAAGTTCTTTTTGATGAAATAATATTCTTTGTTTTGAACGATTCATTGATCTAAACTATTAGGTATATTCGTTCCTTGGTGTAACCGGATATGGACTAGAATTTGGGTTAAGTTAAAGAGAGTGGATCCCTTTTGATATCCCGCCATCTCTAACACCCCGACAACCCAACTCAACTCCTCCAACGTATTAGAGGGGAGTCCCTGTGAAATGACCGACCTGTACTGCAGTTGCATAGACTCGGAAGATATGTATCTTTATTTACAGTAGTACAATAAGACGAATAGATTACAAATGAGTGTAAGGGGAAGGGGGAACTCCAAATGAGAGTCTCACTTGTCCTCCTAGGCAATCCCAAAGACCGCCCCTTCTCGGCAATAAAAGGGATAAGCACAGGGGAGAACACATTTGCATAAGAATAGACAAATCATTCAATAATAACAATATAATAATACTTTATTCAAACGATAAAGTGAAAGAAATCATAGAGAAATGCACAGTGATACTTAATCATACAATACATACTGAAATCAATAAGCCAATTACTTACGGCAAAGAGCCACTAGATCTAAAGCATCGATACGTTTCTTGAATATGAAAAGCGACTGAATTTCTCGTATGTCGTTTGGGAGCAAGTTCCATAATCTAGCGGCTCTAACGGGAAATGAATTTGATAAAGAGGCATTGGAAGCAAAGGGAATTTGCAAAAGGAATGAGCCACTTCTGGGCCCTGACCGCGGTTTAAATTTGAAAAAGTCTATAAACAAAGGGCTAATCTGTTTACAACGGAGGATTTTGAAAGTTTAGTAACTAAAAAACTAAAATATCAGTTTGGCTCGGAGCTGACAGGTACATTCTTCAGAAATTCGGATTTCAACATTTTCATAAATTTCCAACGATAGAAACTTGATATCGGGGAATATTAAAAAGCTGTTACTATTTGAAATAACTAATTGAAAGCTGTTACTATTTGAAAGTTGTAAATCTCCTCTACAAAATAGGCTAAAACGTGTTTCAATTGATCGAAGCATTGAAGAAATTTCGAGGCCGAATGCGAGTGACCAAAAAAAGGAATCGAGTCACTTTAGGGACAAGTTTAGTGTGGTCAAAATAGAGTTAGCTTCCCAAAATTGAAGATTTAAAAAAGAAAAGGATAACTATATATTAGTTCATTAAAAAAAGTCTAACGGAAATGCATTTACAGAAATTTAGATAGAATGCAAGTTCAAAACCCTCAAAATTCTCAAAAAACCGGCTTTTTCACAAAAAAGAAAAATTATTGTAAATACAAAGTTTTCCCATGAAACTATCCCAACTCTTAATTATTTTGAATGCTATTTTAAAGCTATTTTGACTATATGGTTTCCACTATATAGTCAAAACCGAACTTTTGTGAAAGTGGGGTTTTCAAAAAGTGCCCTTTTTTGGGACATTAAGTTAAGCGTTAATCGTAAGTTCAAAAAGGTTTTCAAAAAGTCCTCTTCAAAAAAAGGAATGTAATGAACGTAAAGAAACGGACGAGATCTAGCCAAATTCTTCTCTTCTTTAAGCTTTCGTTAAGAAAAAGATTTCACTTACCTGATGAAACTGGATTCTCTTTATCCCTGATTAAAGCTTCGGCAAGGCGTCGTCGATAAAAAAAACCAATTTTCAGAGATCAGAATCCGAGCAAGCAGCCGAATTCTATTCTTATTTCATGCTAACCGTTTTCACTCTCATTGACACCTCAATGATGCCGCCATTCTCCGCTTGGGATTCAAGGATTATAAATGCAAGGTAAAATGGAATGAAAGCTTGAGTAAATGCTTGAACAGAGCTTTAATAAAGCTTGAATAAAGCTTGAATAAAGCTTGAATAAAGATTTAATAAAGCTTGAATAAAGCTTGAACAAAGTTTTAATAAAGCTTGAATAAAAGCTTGAGTAAAGCTTTAAGAAAAGCTCTAACTTAATAGAGCTTGAATAAAGCTTGAACAAAGTTTTAATAAAGCTTGAATAAAGCTTGAATAAAGCTTGAATAAAAGCTTGAACAAAGTTTTAATAAAGCTTGAATAAAGCTTGAATAAAGCTTGAATAAAGCTTGAATAAAGCTTGAATAAAGCTTGAATAAAGCTTGAATAAAGCTTGAATAAAGATTTAATAAAGCTTGAATAAAGCTTGAACAAAGTTTTAATAAAGCTTGAATAAAAGCTTGAGTAAAGCTTTAAGAAAAGCTCTAACTTAATAGAGCTTGAATAAAGCTTTAATAAAAGCTTGAATAAAAGCTTTAATAAAAGCTTGAATAAAGGTTTAAGAAAAGCTTTAATCAAATCATTTCTTATCATATGTTACCTATTGATAGTAAAACTTTAATAACATTTTATTCAATCAAGATTTTTCAGAAGATCTCTTATGGAAAAGCATGCGTCATCCGTTTTAGAGCACAAAGGAAATGTCCAATTCTTACTCTCAAATCCTTTTCGTCCGCTTGACATCTTTGCGTACACTGTAGATTTAACTGGACAACATGCTATTGATTGAAATTTTCAATCGTTTATTTTAAGCTTTTATTATTTTGTTCACTTTCACATTGAAATGTCTTTCTCAATTTGATCAAATCAATTTTCTTTTAAAAAAAATTATAAAAACATTACTAACAATTTATTGATATTGATAAAAGAATGAATAAATATTGAAGAAAAGATTTGATTTTGAATTGTGATGAAGATTTTGTTGTGGTTTCAACAATTGGAGTTCCGGTTTGGTTTGACTGAAATTTTTGAAGACTGACGGACTGTTTTAAATCGACTTACTGCCGCTTTTTCTGTACTTAGAATTCAACAATAAGTTTACCTTTGCCCACCTGTAAATTAACGGTAACTTTGGACACAGTGCTTGTTGTCATTGTCACTGCAGTGGTTGTTGTTGTTGTTGTTGTTGTTGTAATCACTGCATAAGCCGCTTGATAAGACTGAACGGCTAGCGGATATGGAACAAATTCAGGCAGTTTTGGCTTAAACTTTTTATATGATTTCCGTGCGGTGGCGAGATCTTTATTGCAGAATTCCTCAGCACACATCACATAAAGATAATCGAAAGGATATTCGCCGACCTGGAAACGAAATTTGGATTTGGGACAGGGAAATGGACAGGAAAAAGCCTGAGAACAAGATTTTTAACAACTTTTCCAGATCCAGAAGCCAATCAGCTCCAGAAGTCAATCAGGTTCAAAAGCCAATCAGGTCCAGAAGCCAATCAGGTCCAGAAGCCAATCAGGTTCAAAAGCCAATCAGGTTCAGAAGCCAAGCAGGTCCAGAAGCCAATCAGGTTCAAAAGCCAATCAGCTTCAGAAGCCAATCAGGTCCAGAAACCAATCAGGTTCAAAAGCCAATCAGGTTCAGAAGCCACTCAGTTTTAGAAGCCAAGCCAGAAGCCGATCAGAATCAGATTAGACGCCTTGGCTTAGCTTTTAATTCAAAATCTATCGGAAACATGGTATATCTCAACCAATTTCACTCTGATCTTTTTGATTTTGATATCGATAGACGCAGAATGAATTCTCTATCAAAGACAAAAAGATCGGAGTCGAATTGGTCAAGATCTTCGCATTGGATCTATTAACGTTTACACCAATTCCGAAGTCTACTTGGAATCTCTTTGTTAAACATTACCTCCAATCTTCCGCTAGCTCTTGCATCATTTTGCCAGAGACAACCCTGTGATGTCAAGCTATCGTCTTTCGTGAGTTTTAGCTAAACTTTAAAAGAGTCAAGTTTTAAAAGAATCGATATCTACTCGATCTTGCACATAGACGCAAAGATGACCACTGCAGAAGCTGCCTTCTGAATTCGTTTCGAATGAAATTTGAAAAGAAAGGAAGATTTTCGATGTTTATTAGGTAATTTTAAAGTTTTAATCTATTTTAAAAGCATTTCTTTCCCTCATTCTTACCAAAACCATGACATTTTACAGTCGATTGAGGCATTTCCTTTAAATCAGCCACATTGCAGAGAGTCTAAACTTTCTTGGGGATTTTATTGGGTCGGTGAATTGAAAAGTTGAAGGTGCTTAAAAATGAGGTGAAAGTTTGGCAAAAAAATTGACCAAAAAATAATCGCCATCGTTAAGCGTAAAGATCCGCCGATTCACATGAATCGTTTATAGGTTTGTAGAGGATTTGAGCACTTAAAGTTTAGTGATTCTTCGAATCAACTTGATCTAAAGTGATCCGATCAGCTTTTCAGGATTGGGAGGAAAGGCTTAAGATCTATTTTGATTCAACTATTGGGTCGGTGAATTGAAAACTGCGAGACTTTGAACTAAAATTTATTCAACATAAAACCATCAATTCATTCGAAATAATTTCCATTATTATTGACGACTTCTGCCGATTTTACAGGCAATTTGCGGATTCCTCTTTCGTGGTAGGATTTTGGTTTGTGTGTGAGACAAGTGTGAGACTCAAAAATCGAGGACTGGAGATGTCTCAATTTGAGCACTTTCTTCAAAAGAAACCCATTTTGGTGTCAATAGAAAAGTTGTAGAGAATCAAAAATTAGGCTTATAGCCAAATTTCCAAAAACATACACTTAGTAGTTTCGCTTAAAATGCAAGTTTTGTGAAAATTCGTAAATTTGGCATTTCTTGAAAACCAGTTTTTGAATCGTTCTGGAAATTTGGATATAAGCTTCATTTTTGATTTTCTACAACTTTTCCATTGACACCAAAATGGGTTTCTTTTGAAGAAAGTGCTCAAACTGTCACATATGACAATAGTCGGCAGTTTTCAATTCACCAACCCAATATATTGACTATTTTAACGATCATTTGATGCAGAATGAAATTACGCATGGAATGACACCAAAAACAACTTAAAATATAATATTCATACAAAATGAAATATTGGTCAAAATGCGGCTGAAAAAATGCCCGTACAGTAAGGCAGACAGAAAGACAGACAGAAAGACAGACAGAAAGACAGACAGATACCGTAACCCCCCTCCCCTCCCCGTCCTTTTCCGCCATTTCATTTGTGAAAATTCGTAAATTTGGCATTTCTTGAAAACCATTTTTTGAATCGTTCTGAAAATTTGGATATAAGCTTCATTTTTGATTCTCTACAACTTTTCCATTGACACCAAAATGGGTTTCTTTTGAAGAAAGTGCTCAAACTGTCACAAAATAACAATAGCCCGCAGTTTTCAATTCACCAATCCAATATTTTCACCGTTTAATACTTAAAGTTATATTTATAGAGCTAGATTGATTTAGAAACTAGATCGATTTAATATCTAAATCGAAAACCAAACATTTTATTATCAAATCTGTCTTCATACCCAATCGCATGACATTCGAACGATAAACGAGTAGATTGTTGACTGATACCCGTAAACGCCACCATTATAACCACTAAAAACATTGAATTCAATGCACTAATGCATTTGTTTACACACAAAGTCCAATAAGAGCACTTACGGTAAACGACTAATCCAATCTAGATCTCCAATCGATAGAATTCCTTCTGTTGGCGCTCTTCGACTTGCATCTCGATACCCGTCAAACATCAACCATTCCGAAAGATTTGCGCCAACTGTTTCCGTCAAAAGTACCTGAATTGATTACAGATTATACCAAAGCTTTTTAAGATTAAGATTTAAGATTTTAAGACTTATTCCTTTAAAGCGATAAGAGCTTTTAAAGCTTTTGATGATTTAAAGATCTACTTCTTCTATCCCACCTGCCCATCAGTATCGATCACGCACATTTCGTCCTCGAATGTCACCCCAATTGCCGGGAATTTTGGCGTTTCTCCCGGATTCTTGTCCCAATTCAAATTTACCGAGCTCTAAACCGTTTATACAATTAAGTAAGATGGTTTAAGACTTAAACCTAGTCCTGACCTGGTTTTAGTCAGTTTCTGAGACTGGCGTGGCTCGAGCCTGACCTGTCTCGAGTCTGGCCTGTCTCGAGTCTGACCTGCCTCAAGTCTGGCTTGGCCTGGCCTAGCTTTAATTCAGTCCCTGACCTGCTAAAAGTCTCTAATCGTCAGAATTCGTCAAGAACTAGGCCTGAACCAGAATCTAGGCTCTAACTGGCCTAGCTTACAGGCTCGAAGCTCGATTATATATCTAGTAGCGGGTACTGGTAATGGTACTGGTTTTCTATGCATCAGCACTTATTCTATAAAGATCAGGGCCTGGACTTACTTTAGGACTTTGGCTTTAGGCTTTGGCCCAGGTACATCATTCTTTAGTTGAATAGAGTCAATGTTTTACTCACATTCCAACATCTGATCGGTGTCCGGTTGATGATCGGCACATTCCTCGTACCCCAGCTCAACGTCAATTGCGGCTCGTAGCCAAATGTTGGCACCTCGTCGTTGCAGTTATCAGTGCTGCAAAAATTTCTGCTTTCAGCCTGTTCTAGGCATAACATTTCTTGTACTAGAACTTGTAAACAAGAAAAACTTTCTCAGAAACCTTACTGAACTTTCAAAACTTGCAGAACTTTCAGTTTTTTCTACTAGATCTGTTTTTAGATTTAACACTCACTCGCAAAGACACGTGAAACCGGGCAGCGGAGTGCCAGTGGGACTTTTAACTACGTGCGTATCGAAGTAGCACGCCGGTTTCCAATAGATCATCCCCTGTACACAGTCTCGTCGCGTAGTGTTGAATGGGAAAAGTTGCTGAGAAATCAAGCACAAAGTACCAGTGCATTGGGATGGAGAGCTGGAATTGGGGATTGAATGCAATGGGATGGAGAGCTGGAAGAAGTTTTTGGAGAGGGATTGAATGCTTTGCAAGCAATTGTTCTAACCACTGAGCTATGTGGCAGCTTAAGGTCAAGAGAAAAAGGGAAAGACAAGGGAGAAGAAAGGAATGAAGGAAGAAGGAAGGAAGGAAGAAAGGAAGAAAGAAAGGGAGGAAGAGGGAAGAAAGAAAAAGACGCTAGGTCATCCCTCTCTTTATGTACTTTATGCTGAAATATTCTGTAAACGCATCCTTTCTAGCGAACAGAATTCTTCACTTTTCTTCAGGGCATTACTAAAAGAAGAAAGATTTCTAGTAGTATGCCAGAAAAGATGCGTTTTTAAAGCACCAAAAAACTTACACAGCTTTTCCAACTGAATCGACTTGTAGAATGCATTTCACTGCTTTAATATGAAATTTTTTCCAACTTATCAATAAAATTATTAAAATATTTAAATAAAATTTCATTAGAATTACAATAAAATATTAGAAATTCTTTCAAAAGCATTCTCTTTTCAATGCCAAATTACAGGTTTCCCCAGCAATTACGTAAAATTTAAGGAAATTTTTGAAGATTCGCTTTTGAATCGATTGAAAAATTGAAAAAGTAAGGCTAGAATGCTAGAATTGTTTCAGATTTAGATTTATGATAATAAAAGTAAAAGGTAAAGCTGAGAAGAAAGCTGAAATGAAAGCTGAAGCGAAAGCTTCTTCTTGTCAACGTTTCGGAATCCGCTTGTAGTCTAGATTCGTTTTTTTTAAAGTTAAAACTCGCTACACACTCCCTACACAATACTGCAATTAGTAAACTACTGTATTCTATTGTTGATAAGCCTCTGAAGTACTATAATTGATCAATTCAATCCCCTAGAAGTCATGCGTTCATCAACCTCAAAGTTCGAAGCTTAAAGAAAATAAAGCTGTAATTTGACGCAGGTTTTTGACGTTTGATAGTAATTGATGCTTTTAATGACTAGTTTCTATTCTTAAATATCCATTCAACAATTTGTGAATATTATCGGGATTCAAATGCCAATTACTGGGTTTTTTCTGAATCGAAACCGATTCTACAAAGATGAAGTAATGTTTAGAGACAATGAAAGGAAGAAAGGATGAAAAGTAATGAACAAAAGATTGAAAGAATCAATTTGAAAAGTAAAAGTGTCTCAGAATCATCAAAAAGGTAATGAATAAAGGATTGGTAATGTTAAAGAATCAATTTGAAAACGAATAGTGTCCCAGGATGGTCAAAAGGCTAAAAAGCAAAAGGCCAGAATGGCCAAAACCCAAAAAGCAACCCTTTCACTTTCCAAATTATCAGTAATTCATTCAACACTTTCACTGATCTTTTTCTTCTGCTGAGACAAAATTTGCATATTATTTAAGCCTTAGAGTATGGCACAGTACCAATTTAATCCATAGGATATTGTAGAAAACCTAGAGTAAAACATAAGACAGTAGAACATTCCAGTACAGTACAGTACAGTACAGTACAGTACAGTACAGTAGAACATTTCAGTACAGCAGAGCATTCCAGTAAAGTACAGTACAGTACGGTAGAACAGTACAGTGCAGTTGAAGATTCCAGTACAGTACAGTACAGTAGAACATTCCAGTGCAGTACAGTACAGTACGGTAGAACACTCCAGTACAGTACAGTACAGTACGGTAGAACATTCCAGTACAGTACAGTGCAGTTGAAAATTCCAGTACAGTACAGTACAGAAGAACATTCCAGTACAAATTGGTACAGTACAGTACGGTACAGTAGAACATTCCAGTACAGTACGGTACAGTAGAACATTCCAGTACAGTACAGTACAATACAGTGCAGTAGAGCATTTCAGTACAGTACAGTAGAACATTCCAGTAGTAATCTTAAAAAGCAAGCCCAACTTTTCTTGGTTTACTTTACCAAGCACTTACTTTACTTTACTTTACCAAAATATTATTTTGTTCAAATTCGCAAAAGTTAGACACATCATTTCTGGCCTTGAAAGAAAGTGATAAACTCCTTTTTTTTCAGTCAGTTTTCTGTTTTTTTGATTGAAAAGCCTTGAATCAAATATTATCTTATGCCAGAAAATTGGAGAAAGAGAAAATCTTCTAATCCTAAACGATTGCTTTTTAAACAAACAACATTTTTTGATTCACTACGCAAATAACATTATCTATTCACTTTCAAAAGTTTTTCATTCAGAATTGGCTTTAAGTTGCTGAGGAGTTAGCTCAGAAGTTGGCTTTCCGTTCTTATTTGTTGAGCCAGTTTATGGTAGCGAAGTTACGGGTAGACGGCAATCCGACATATCCGTTTTCTAAGCATTAGTAATGTTAAAGAATCAATTTGAAAACGAAAAGTACCTCAAGATGATCAAAAGGCCAAAAAGGAAAAAGCCAAAATGGCCAAAAAGCCAAAAAGCAACCCTTTCACTTTCCAATTATCAGTAATTCATTCAACACCTTCACTGATCTTTTTCCTCTCTTGAGACAAAATTTGCATATTATTTAAGCCTTAGAGTATGGCACAGTGCCAATTTAATCCATAGGATATTGTAGAAAACCTAGAGTAAAACATAAGACAGTAGAAGATTCCAGTAGAGCACAGTACAGTAGAACATTTCAGTACAGTACAGTACAGTACAGAAGAAGATTCCAGTACAGTACAGTGGAATATTCCAGTACAGTACCGTACAGTAGAACATTCCAGTACAGTACCGTACAGTAGAACATTCCAGGACAGTACCGTACAGTGCAGAAGAAGATTCCAGTACAGTACATTACAGTACAGTACAGTAGAACATTCCAGTACAGTACAGTACAGTACAGTAGAATATTTCAGTAGTAATCTTAAAAAGCAAACCTCTAGTTTTCTTAATTTACTTTACCAAAGCACCTACTTTACTTTACTTTACTTGACTTTACTTTATACTTTACTTTACTTTACCAAAATATTATTTTGATAAAATTTTCCCCAGCATTCTCAAAAGTTGTGATATCACTATTTTTGACTTTGAAAGAAGTGATAAGATCCTTTTTTTTCTGTCAGTTTTTTTTATGGTTGAACCAAATATACTCTTATGCCAGAAAATTGGCCGATTGCTTTTTAAATAAACAGCTTTTTTTGATTCAATACGCAAATAACATTTATCTATTCACTTTCAAAATTTTTTGATTCAGGATTCAGAGTTGGCTTTAAATTGACCGTTAGTAAATAGACTTGTTGCAGCTTTTCTTATACTTAGCTAATCCGTTTTCGAAGATTATTGTAAGCTTGCTTTAATTTCTAATCCATCTATCTATCTTTCTAAACTATCTTCTAAACTATCTTCTAAACTATCTTCTAAACTATCTTCTAAACTATCTTCTAATCTATCTTCTAATCTATCTTCTAAACTATCCTCTAAACTATCTTCTAATCTATCTTCTAAACTATCTTCTAATCTATCTTCTAAACTATCTTCTAATCTATCTTCTAATCTATCTTCTAATCTATCTTCTAAACTATCTTCTAATCTATCTTCTAAACTATCCTCTAAACTATCTTCTAAACTATCTTCTAATCTATCTTCTAAACTATCCTCTAAACTATCTTCTAATCTATCTTCTAAACTATCTTCTAAACTATCTTCTAATCTATCTACTTTTAACAGCAATTTTAGTATTAACTTTTTAACAGTACAGTAGCTTCCATGAAATCAATGTTTTAAAAAGCATACTTATACAAACATCTATTTCATATATTCATCTATTAAAGAATTTTAAGTCTTCACTCCTTTTAAGACATTCAAATCTTAGACTTTCATCATCTTTTACAGAAAACAAAGTAATGAGTGACAACATTGGTCGACAGGTATAATAAAACTCAAAATGAATTAAATAATTGAGAAAATTGAATGAATGAATGAAAGCAAGGAAAGAAATTCTTAAGGAAAACCTCGAAATGCAGAGACTTTTCGATATTGGAGATGATGGGAAAACTGTTTTCGATCAACATCTCCTTAATTCGCTTTGCATTCAAATTGGAGAAAGACCGGTAATTTGCTGAATTCAAATTTACTGATTTTCAAATTCAATTCATTGAGTCGTTTTTCCATTCAAATGCTTTGATTGATTTGATTTGTTCAAATGATCAAATGATTTGTTTTACGTTCAGGTATCCATCATTTCGACAGCTGGCAAATCTCGGCAGGGAAAAACCTTCTGGCTGAACGTTTTATTGAATGGACTGCAGAGGGGAAAAGCGAGATTCGATGATCATGAAACGATTGGGTGCATAGAGATTTTGATTTTGATTGATCATTTTCTATTAAAGCTAGATTTTGATTCATTTATTGTACAGTACGTGGAAACTTTTCCCTTACCGTAACCTTACAGGGGTAGGTAGACGTAGACGTAGACGTAGTAGACGCCTTCTGTGACTACCGTAACTCATAGTAACCTACAGTAGCCGTAGTTGATTACATATGACTTGGAGATAGAGTTATACCGAGTTACAGTAGCTGAAGCTGGCTTTAAGCAGGCTACGGTAACTGAAATAAGCTTTAAACAGGTTACGGTGACTGAAAAAAGCCTTAAGAAGGTTACGGTAGCTGGAATTGGCTTTAAGCAGGCTACGGTAACTGAAATAAGCTTTAAGCAGGTTACGGTAGCGGAAACAAGCTTTTAGCAGGTTACGGTAGCTGAAACAAGCCTGAAACCGGTTACGGTAGCTCGAGCTGGCTTTAAAAGTTAGCTGTAACGTTTACCGCACTTTTAGCGGACCCGGCTGTATCCAATTCAAAGCCGGCCTCACCCGACACACTCGTGGCATAATGGTTTGGCCAAAAGTCTTCCATCGAAAAGACAAATTTGGGAAAGAGGTAAGCTATCGTAATCCGGCTGAAAACCTACAGTAATCCCATGAAATATAGCCATAAAAATTTCCCAGATAGCCGTCATTTTAATGGACACCCAAGGCACTTTTGACCTCCACAGCGAAATCGGAAATGCGGCTGTGATCTTTGCCATCTCGTTATTGATGTCCTCAGTGCAGGTTTGGTTACTGTAACGAGAATGTTGATAATTTTATGATATTCAGTTAAGATTCAGTTATGATATTCAATTATTAAAGAGAACTTATTCAGTGAAGGTTTTTAAACTTCTAAGGCGAAAAAGTCAAGAGCTTTTTCCGACACCGACTCTGATCCGACTCCGTTAAAGCCTGTCCCAGCTACCGTAATCTTTATATCATAGTTTAAGCTATAGAAATTGTCAAGTTCTCTATCTATAGTTAGATAAGGACTACAGTAATCTTTATAATCAATTTGAGTTACTGTAAAAGCTATTTGTTGAGCCAGTTTATGGTAGCGAAGTTACGGGTAGACAGAAATCCTATATAAAAAGGTTTCTATAGACTTTTATATACTCCTATATATCTGATCTATATCTGAATCTGAATCTGAAGCTAGTCCACCTGCTGCCAAGACTAATTTGACTTGACTTACAGGCCCGGATCAGAAACGGATTCTAGCAGGGATTTTCTGTTTATTCAAATCCCACCAAGGTTACCATGGTTTTTAGAAGATCTTGGTCAAGATCTTGGTCAAGATCTTGGTCAAGCTCCTGCTCAAGATCTTGATCAAGCTCTTGGTCAAGATCTTGATCAAGCTCTTGGTCAAGATCTTGGTCAAGCTCCTGCTCAAGATCTTGTTCATGCCAGGCAAGAACAGAAGCCAGTTCTTATCCTGTTTTATTGCAATCTCTTTTATATTCTATAAAACTTAAAATACTCAACTATTCAACTATTCTATTCAAATTCTAATTGTAAAAGCATTTGCTTTAAAGAAAACTTTGTTTCTTCGTCAAGATTTTCAGCTAATCGCCTTTCAGCTAATCAACTGGATATTCTCAATAGTTTGGATTTAAAATCGTATTTATTTAATCGGATTTATTGTATTTATTGTATAAAATCGTATTAAAAGATCGATCGATCTTGAAATTGATTTCTCAACACTTTTCAGCACTTTTCGGCAACATTTCACAATTCCTAATACTTTCAAAAACGATTTTTCAGCAACTGATAACGAAAACCCTTTTTGCTTTATTTTTCACCAAAAATATCTGATTAGAGTTTTTCTGGTGTCAGAAAAATGCGAAGTTGCCTTTTTTTGCCTTTTTTGGAGGGATAATTTTTTGAGCAAACAAGTGATAGTTTTTCTTTTTCGAAAATAAACCTTCTTAGTCGTTTTTGAAGGGACAAAAATGTAGAAAGTGTAGAATTTTTTTTCGAAATGGAAATAGTACAAGTTTTCAAATCTAGATTTTCAACACAAAAAGCCAAATCGATGCTCAGGATCTTGACGCGCTCAACACGTTCATCACGTTTTGTCAAAGAGCTGACGGAAGAGTTGGACAGGTGAAAGCTTTTGAATTTCTTGACGACCGTTTTCTCTCTAATAGTAGTGCAAACCGCCGAGCCGAGTTGATAACTATTTTAGTTCAGTTACAGTTCCCAAGCTTTCACAGAAGCTCAACACTCTAATCCCAAGATCTCATCGTCACCTACATTTTCCAACCCCACATCGATGGGTTCTAATAAGCGGCTTTCGAGATTTCAAGGAATTTAGGCAACGCTCACGATGCACTACTATTAGAGAGAATACGGTAACTGATAATTAAGTACTGTAGTTAGTACTGTAGCTTGTTTAAAGCTTATATAATCTACCGTAAATACTGTAATTGGACCCCATGGGGTACTATTTTTCCCTCCCCCCGCTAGGGTGGGGTACTATTAGAGGGTGGGGCACTATTTTACACCACTGTTCAAGTTACCAAATCAGGATGCATTCAAATAATTTTTTCAAAAGCAAACTTTTTCTTTAGTTTTTCTTGGTTTTAACCATTTGAACATTTAACAGCAAAACGAAACAAAAACAACTAACAAGCGAAATCAATAGAAACATCCGAATCAATGAATTCATCATTTTCTTGATCATCAATTCCTCGATGTCCTTGAAATCCCGTCGATGCGAGCGGCCCCAAGAGGTCCTCGATTTCCGTCTCTGTCCGATTTCCGTCTCTGTCCGATTTCCGTCTCTGATCTCTAACACCAATTTCTTTGGCTCCAACCGCTTCGATGCACTTGCTCGTCGAAGCATCCAGCCAAACCGCCGTCTCATCGCAAGCAACAATGTGCTTGTAATCGCCTTCTTTGATTGTCTTGTTCAGCCTCAGAATGTGCTCGACGATGGCCTTCTCAAATTTGCTCGGCAGCTTTTGACAAGTTGTTGTTGGTGCCCTCAAAGAAAGTTGGTGACGCCTCAAGAACGACTCCATCCAGCCATGGGTTCTTTTGAAAGAAATTTCAGCTTTTTTGAATCGATTAGCCGCTTCATTCCAGATAATCCGGCGTGTCACTCGTTTCTTCTCGGCTCGACGATCCCGTATCCATTCAGCCAAACCGATATCAATCCCCTCCGAGTTCAAGTGGCTTCTAAGTGGTTCAAGTCTTCTAAGTAGGCCAATCTTTATGATTTTGGTGTTACTTTGTTGCACTTGTTGAGATCTACAATCATAAAGATTGCCCACTTAGAAGAAAGTTATGGCGAGCTGCGCAAAAAATTTGGCGCAAAGTAGCCACCCCAAATTCAAAAACAACAAATTTATGGGATAAAATTAAAAATACAAACTATTTCTGAAAATACATGAAAATTTTCCGCTTTAAAAGAGTTGTTTGTAATTACGCGTTAGGTGGGGGTGGGGTACTATTAGAGGGGTGGGGTACTATTAGAGGGGTGGGGTCCAATTACATTATTTACGGTAGAGGTTTAGCAATGAAAGCAGATAGTTTCATAAAAAAATTCAGAACTTTCTGATAATGGTGAGAGATGCGATCCGAGCTGGACCCGACAACGAGTACATTGAGGAGTTGAAAGTAAAGTGTTTGCGAGTTTATCCAACTCAAGTAAACCTAGCTAGGCTAGCCCAGACTCCAAGCTTGGCTTTTGGCGGATCCAGGCTTTGTCTGACTGCCTGGATCGGCCTTGTCCCGGAAAATTTTCTTTAGAATAACCCTGGATCTTTAGAAGCTTTCGAAGCTTTAGAAGCTTTAGAAGCTTTAGAATTTAGAATTTAGAATAACTATGACGTTTTCAGGCACAATCCCAGCAAGCACCCAAATTGAGAATGTTACTCACCGGTGTTTTGGACTCATTCGAGAAAGTTGAATGTTTTATGGTGCCCAGACCAGCTGAGCCGGTGATTCGAGCGAGTGGCGAAGTGCCGGTGAAAGGTTTGTTGGTACGGTAGCTGAATAAAGAACTGGTGCGAAAAAAATAAACAGAATCGGATTCGTCATGTCCGATAGGCGTTTGCATCACCGTCTCAGCCTCTTTTGGAACTTTCCTTTGTGACAGAAATTTGACACTGTAGCTAGATACAGTTGTGCATTCTAGCCGGATGCAGCTGTGCATTCTAGCTAGATACAGCTGTGCACGCTAGCTAGATACAGCTGTGCATTCTAGCTGGATACGATAACTCAAAATCGATTTCAGATTGCGGCTCGGATTTCCTCTCCGTTCTATGCGATTGTGCCAACCATGTGCTCGATAATTTGGTTCCGAAAAACGTGATGGGAACGATTTTGACTGGTGAAACTCTGAAAGAACATGTAGAGGTGAACTTAGATAAGATAAACCATCTATTTTTTTGGGATCTTTAAGTAATTTTTACAAAATTCTTATAGTATCAAGAAATTTGAGTACTATTCTACAGAAATTAGGCAATTGAAAGAAAGTTGAACTTTTCAGAGTCTTGTTAACCACGTCACACACAATCACCACCATGCAATCGGCTCAGCGTACCTGGTTTTGGTTTTTAAGATTGAAAAATCAATGTTAAGAATGTTAAGAAAGAGTTTTACATACCGTAAATACTGTAATAGTACCCCACCCCCATAACGACGGTGCGGAGTGTTGTGTAGTCTAGCTTTGAACGAGTTTTTCTCGACACTGGTTGATGCTACAATGCGCGCTTAGGTATCAAAAAATAGCCCTCAATTTCAGCTATTTTTTGATACCAAAGACGCATTTTTTGAAAGTACGGGTGCTTTGCAAAAAATGAAATACTAAAAACTGCGACTACGCGACTGTACAAGGGGGTGGGGTACTATTACAGTATTTACGGCATATAAACTTTTAAAAAAATTGATACGCTTTATGATTTTTAATCACTTTACAGGCTACTTCACAACTTTACTTTCAAAAAGCTCGAATTACTGCTGAAAGCTTTTTCAACGAACAACATGAACAGGTTTGAAAGCAAAAACTTTTCAAAACTTTCAAAAAAATCTAATTAAAGACTCTATTTTAATTCCTAAACTTTCAATTTTCAAGTTAATCCGAGAAAACAGTCATCACCCAATCCAACCTGAACTCTATGCAGAGAAATTGAAGAGAATCAGCGGCGAAGCTGTGAAGGTAAGGCTGTGAAGGTGAAACTGTGAAGCTGAGCTACTTTAATGTGCTAGATAGCTTGCGTTTGCTAGAGCACAAAGGCATAAATGTTTCTTTTTGTTCTTTTATCTTTTATCTTTTTAAGATCTATCTGGTCAGCCCATTTTTCGGCACGGCTGAAGAGAAGCGATCACGTTTCAACGATTTCGAAAAGGGATTGCAGGTTTAAAAAACTCAGCATCACTTTCCACAAAAGTTTCAGGATCGTTGCTTGGAAAAAACGGAAAATAATGAGAATCGATATAGAGATATTCGAATGGCTGAAGCGGTCAATGGGAGTTATTTGGTTTATGAGCAGGGGATGCGGGTGAGTGAAATGCCTAGCGGTAGCCGTATTTTCTGAGCTTTGCCTAAATTCATTGAAATCTCGAAAGCCGCTTATTAGAACCTATCGATGTGTGGTCGGAAAATGTAGCTGACGATGATATCTTGTAGGGGAATAGAGTGTTGAGCTTCTGTGAAAGCTTGGGAACTGTAAAATAGTCCTCAACTCGGCTCGGCCGGCGGGAGAAGCAGAGGGCACTACTTTTAGAGAAAATACGGAATTAGAGGTTGAAATAGAGCACACTGGAACAGATCTTGTTCTAACTAGATCCAGATGAAGAAATCAATCAGTTCTCTAACTTTTCCAGCGCATAATCACTCATCTTTCCAACTTTTCCAGCGTACAATCCATTAGAGTATGTTGCCATTCGGTCAGTGCTTCTACTAGGCCTTTACTATAAAAATATGCGCAAGAACATTGACAAATTAAGTCCACTACAAGGAGAGTGTTCCTATTTTTGTGCACAAAGAACAGAACAAATCAATTTGTTTAGCTAGGCATCGAGGCTCTAGTCAATCCCGGTGACCCGGCACTCATCACCGAGCGACACAATCAAGCTAATACAGAAGCGATGAGTTTTTTTTGAAAAAGGTAGTACAGAAGCTGGAAATTCATGGATTTCATAACTTCTAGAGCTAGAATCGTTCTAAAATCATTTACAACAGATATCTGACAGTTGAATTCAAATTTAACTTGAAATTTAATTCTTAGCTGTTTCCGAATTCTCTAAAGAGACACAATTGGTGGAAACGAAACGAACGCTGCTTTCGAATATGATCAAGGTATTCAGTTTTCTCATATATTGAACTATCTGTATTTAGTTTAATAATAAAATCTTATTCAAAAGAAAGAAAGATAGAAAGAAAGAGAGAGTTCTTATTCAAAATCAAGAAAGACAGAAAGAAAGAAAGAAAGGAAGAAAGGAAGGAAGGAAGAAAGAGTTCTTATTCAAAAGAAAGCTCTGCATTCTGTTTAGGTCAAGTTCGAAGGTCTTACACGCGAAAACGGTGCCAGGAATTTAGAGCGGAAAGGAAAGGAAATTTTCGAGAAACTCCTTGAAGAGCATATTGGGAATTTGAGAGAGGTTTACACTTGGAAACATTAAATATTTTGAAAGGATTGATCATGTCCAATGATCATTGCAATCATCTCCAATATCTAGTGCATCTCCACTACAACAAGCGACGAACAGATCTCAGTGAACTTGCAGAGATGTGCGGAGAAGTTGCAAACTCGATATGAAACAAAAAGGGTTATGACTTGAATCGAATTTCCTTCTAATATTCAATTTTTTAGCTAGAGTTGACTCTCGAAGTGATGAACACACTGCCGACCGTCTCACCGCAAACAATCTCCCAGATTCTCGACAACAATCGTCAGGCTTTCACAACACCGTTCAAGGTACAGGCGTTTGTGTAAACCCACCTCTTCTGGTGCACTTAATTCCTGATCATTCTTGATCAAGACCGTACTCTTCTACCGTACTCTTCTACCGTACTCTTCTACCGTACTCTTTTACCGTACTCTTTTACCGTACTCTTTTACCGTACTATCGTACACGTACAACCGTATTTTTTTAACACCAGAAGGAAATAAATGTGCTAGAATGAATGTGTTTCTATTACTAGTCACTCAAAAACAAGTACAACAAATGCTAAAAGACAGAAGAATAGAATACTAGAAAGACAAAAGACTTATTCTTTAACGTATCTTCTAGAAATGTGAAGACGATTTTGTTTCTGAAGTTCGTGGCAAATTGAGAATGGAACAATTGATGGATAAAATTGGAAAAATGGAGCAACTTCGGGTCAATGAGAAGCAACGATTTGGAGCACGTCAAGCAGAAACTGAGGCTAAATTCGAGCAAATGAGAAGCGCTTTGGGTAAATGAATAGAATTTAGCAATTCTGTAGCATTTCTCTACTCTTTTTTCAAAAATAAATATTCAGAAGAAGAGCAACGCCGACGGGCCAAAGCTGAGTCGAACAAAGAAAACAACGAGGCGATGTTACTCTTAATGAATCATATGAAAGAGAGCGATGTTCGGTGGGGTTATTTTGTCATCTGTCTGCCCTTTTCTTTGTCATTCTCATGCCAAGAAACTTTCAACTGAAATAGTAAAAAAGGGTTTTATTTCTTGATATCATGATGTTGGCTTAGAAGCTGTTGTAGTTGGATTGGTGATTCAAAAACTGGTTTTCAAGAAATGCCAAATGTTACGAATTTTCACAAAACTTGCATTTTAAGCGAAACTACTAAGTGTACCTTTTTGGAAATTTGGCTATAAGCCTAATTTTTGATTCTCTACAACTTTTCTATTGACACCAAAATGGGTTTCTTTTGAAGAAAGTGCTCAAACTGGGACACCTCCAGTCCTCCATTTTTTGAGTCTCACACTTGTCTCACACACAAACCAAAATCCTACCACGAAAGTGGAATCCGCAAATTGCCTGTAAAATGTGCAGAAGCCGTCAATAATAATGAAAATTATTTAGTAATCAAGCATTGATCTGATGAGATTTAAAACTTGAGTAATTAAGTAATTAAACCAAATCATAAGCGGAAATTGACTGAAATGAAAAGATATTGTGAGAGTTTACAAAATAGAGTACTCGAGGAAGAAATACAGTGCATTATAGTTATAAAATTTGTTATACCTTATCCGTAGTCCATTCCAATAATCACCATAAATCTTTTCAGACAACGAGAACAGTACGATCAAGAACGACGAGAGCACGCTATTCGAGAAGAGAGACGACACCAAGAAGCTCAAGAAAAAGTCGATCGAGTGTGGCAACAAAGGGTTTATGTAAGAAATGATATAGAAAGGATTACAATAAACATCTATTTATTCTAGCTTCTAGCTTGACCAGCTTCATAGCTTGGTCCTTTAACATCCTTTAATTAGCTTTATCCTATAAGGTCCTTTAACTACCTATTGGGTTGGGGAGAATGAGTCGGCGCCGAAAATCAAAGAAATTTCTAAAACTTATAGCAGACTTTGTTTTCTATTTCTAGCTTTCTTTTTACTTCAGGCTCTTTAAATGCTCTTTGAAGATTGTATTCAAATTTGGTTCATAGCTAGTACTAAGAATGATTACTAAAATGTACTCATATCAATACTCTATCAGTACTCGTATCAATCAATCAAAGAAAGAAAAACAAGAATTTATTTAGGAAGAAAACGAGCAGAGACGCGAATATCAAGAGCGATTGGATCAAATGGAAAGAGTTTGTTGAAAAATCTCGATGAATCTCTAAAAATCTTTAGGAGCAAAGAGAGCGCCAACTTTGGAATGAGCGACAACAGCAGACACAAGACCAAGTGAGGAACTTGTTTTAATAGTATTTCAATTTAAAGGCTCAGGTAGATCTTGTTTCCAGGTTTAAAAATATCCTTTCCTATTAGGATGAGCTTTTGGCTAGGACGTTTTAAACCCAAGTTTTCTGACCTAAACTAGACCAAAGTAGAGCTTGACTTTCAATTTTTCGACAAGAAGTTGTTTGCGAAAACTTTCAGAAGTTTTTGACTTGACTTGGCTCATAGGCTGTTTTCTAAAAGATGTCAATCTGTCAACTTTAAAGTGATCTACCATAAGCTTTCTCTCAAGCTTTATTTGATCAAAGATCACTGCTTATAGTCATTGAAAGAGGCTTTTTTTAGCAACGACGCGTCCTCGAGAATCAGCCTACTCATGAGGATCCCGAGCCAAACGGGGCTCGCCCCATTTCTCAAGTTGTCTACTTTGGATATAGAATCTTGCATTCGTTGGGATTTTAAAAATTTTACTGATTATGTACCACTTGATTAGTATTCACTTGAGGTTAAAATGTGTCAACTTTCAACTAATCCCTTCTCTAAAACGTGACAACATTTGTAACTAACTTTGTAACTGTGACCTTGCTTCTACCGTCATATCTAGCCCCGTAACCTTGCCTCTATCGGAATCTTCTCTTTACAGTCTCTAACTACCATAACCTTGTCTCTACCGTAATCTCGCTTCTATCGTACTCTCTACGCTCCTGAATTTCAATTAAAGATCACCTGAGCATGAAATATTATCATTGTTAATATTGCCATTGTCCAGTTTTTTCACACTTTTCAACACTTTTCTTGATTCACTTTTGTAAAAACCTTTAATTTGAAAATCAGCTCCATTCCATTTTCGGAATATTCAGCTGTGATCAATTTTTCGTATTTGGTTTTGAAAAGTTATACAAAAGTTTTATTGGGTTAAAAATTATAGAAAAGATTTCTCAAATATAATATTTTAATTTCTCAAACATATGAGGATTTCTGAAGCTGATGTTGAGCTGGATTTTGACCTTGATGCCCAAGTGGGCCATGTTGAAATGAGACATTCTTAAAATCTGTTCTGTTTTTGCTTCAATTTTTTCTCAAAACCTGATGATGACGCACAGATCTTTGAAAATTCTCATCCAAATATTGCATCAATGACGGAGGGAATTGAATCGACAACCGATGGACGACTTTGTAGGCGAAATCTTGCATCTCCTCGAAACACAAATAGTTCCTCTGAAAAAGCACTGTAGATTATTGAATGCTGAATGCTAAACCGTGCCCCACGGCTACCGTAGGCCCCTCTTGTCTTTTTTCACCGGCATTTCAGTCTAATACATGCCCACTTTCCGTAATCTAATGTGAATATCGATTCCTAGTTTTATCCAACTCAAGTTGGTCTGATTTGACGAGCATTCAAAGATTCTGGTACTTGGATACCAACGAGGCCAGACTACGATAGTTTTCAAAAGTTTGATTCAAAGGTTTCAAATTGACCCACTAGTAGAAACCTTAGTAGAAAAGTTGACCCATTTTAGAAAGAACTTTAGTCCAAACGAGCCGACCTCCAGCTCAAAGCATTAAAATTGAGTAACGTGAAAGTCATCAACTTTCAGTCCTTTTAATTCTCGTCTACACGATTCGGCTCAGCATCTCCCAACCGGCACTTCCTTGAAGAACATCATCCACCCTTCTGCGAGACTCTGACCGAGCACATTCGTCAATTCTCCATAGTAGTCATTCTTTGCCAAAGCTTGAAGGAAAACGTTCGTCTCGAGTTCGAGTTCTCGATTAGAATCTCCAAAGTGGAAAGATTCAAATTAGTGACTTTTTCGAAATCCTAAAACAAATATTCAGTCAGATTGCTGAAGTTAACATAGTGTAAATATTGGGTTGGTGAATTGAAAACTGCGGGATTTTAGTAAATTTATTCAACATAAAACCATAAATTCATTCCAAATAGTTTCCATTATTCTTGACGACTTTTGCCCATTTTAAAGGCAATTTGCGGATTCCTCTTTCGTGGTAGGATTTTGTTTTTGAATCGAAAAACTTTCAAAGCCAATTTTTGACTGCTTCTTTCGAATCGAAGTGTTCTCCCGCAATCTCATTACTCATGCTCCTAAATAAATAGTAGTCAAAAGGGGTAAGGTCCGGACTGTATGAGGAATGTGCCAAAAGTTCCCAAACAAGGCTGTTTATTTTAGAGCGAGTCAGTTTTGCAACATGAAGGCGCGCGTTGTAGTGGAGGAGAACGATCTTTGACTTGAAGGGCCTATTCTTCTTTAGGGATTCATTCACCTTTCCCAACTGTTCGCTGTATTTGATTGGGTTGATGATTTAAGGGTCGTCAATTCGAGGAAGGAAGGATTTTCTTTCGTATCGTGAGAGATGAGCGGCACTGATGAAGGTGCGCTGCCACTTCTGGGGGTCAGTGGGGTCATGGGGCACCCAAGTCCCAAGTTTCGATTTAAATCCAAGGGTATGAAGGTGATTTAGCACTGTAGCATGATCAACCCCTAACTCTTCTCCCAATTCACGCGATGATACCCGATGGTCGTTGGTAATGAGTTCGAGTAATTTGGAATCATCCAGTTGGGGTACCTGGGTTGATCAACCCCTAACTCTTCTCCCAGATCGAAACTTAGCAAACCATACTACGTTCTTTCGGAAGGTGAGTCCTCCCCATATATCTTTTTAATATTAGCAGCTGCCAAGCCTGCACTGTGCTCTTGTAGGAACTCATGAAGCATGACATGACGAATATTTCCCGGTGGCAGATTGTCGAGTGCAATAGAAGAAGTGAATAAAAATACCAAAAAATAAAAAGCTGGAAGCATAGTTTTTTCGCAATAATTAGAGGAAATGTTGAAGTAAACAAAGCCCCCTTTCAGCTGGTTCAATGCTGTTGTTTTTATCTGCGAAATAGCCGGCAGTTTTCAATTCACCAACCCAATAGAGCACAATGTACGCTTCAAAGTTTCCAACCTGCCGTTGTTGATGTGCGAATTCCCGTTGAACTACCTGGTAGTCGAGCTCTTTCCTCTGAAAATGAACACAATATGGGAAGCATTTAGCGGTGAAACAGTTAAATTACTAGTGTATAAGATTCAGATTTGTAACTTTTCTCAACTCCTCTCCACCCACCATGTTCCATCCTCTTGGTTTTTCAGCTTTATTTTTAACAACATTTCATACAAGTTCTTCTTTCTGTTTTTAGATTTAACACTCACTCGCAAAGACACGTGAAACCGGACAACGGAGTGCCAGTAGGGCTTTTAACTACATGCGTATCGAAGTAGCACGCCGGTTTCCAATAGATCATCCCCTGTACACAGTCTCGCCGCGTAGTGTTCGATGGGAAAAGTTGCTGAGAAATCAAGCACAAAGTACCAGTGCATTGGGATGGAGAGCTGGAATTGGGAAAAAGTTTTCGGAGAGGGATTGAATGCTTTGCAAGCAATTGTTCTAACCACTGAGCTATGTGGTACCTTAAGTTGTCAAGAGAAAAAGGGAAAGACAAGGGAGAAGAAAGGAAGAAGGAAGAAAGGAAGAAGGAAGAAAGGAAGAAGGAAGAAAGGAAGAAGGAAGAAAGGAAGAAGGAAAGAAACGCTAAGCTAAAGCCATGCCCCTCTTTATGTACTTTATGCTGAAATATTCTGTAAACGCATCCTTTCTAGCGAACAGAATTCTTCACTTTTCTTCAGGGCATTACTAAAAGAAGAAAGAATTCTAGTAGTATGTCAGAAAGGGTGCGTTTTCAAAGCACCAAAAAACTTACACAGGTTTTCCAAATGATTCGACTTGTAGAATGCATTTCACTGCTTTAATATGAAATTTTTTCCAACTTATCAATAAAATTATTTAAATATTTAAATAAAATTTCATTAGAATTACAATAAAATACTAGAAATGCTTTAAAAATATTCTCTTTTCAATGCCAAATTACAGGTTTTCTCCAGCAATTACGTAAAATTGAAACAAATTTTTGAAGATTGACTTTTGAATTGATTGAAAACTTGAAAAAGGGCTAGAATTTTTTGAGATTTAGATTTATGATAATAAAAGTAAAAGGTAAAGCTGAGAAGAAAGCTGAAATGAAAGCTGAAGCGAAAGCTGAAACTAAAGCTGAAACGAGAGCTGAAATGAAAGCTTCTTCTTGTCAACGTTTCGGAATCCGCTTGTAGTCTAGATTCGTGTTTTTGAAGTTAAAACAGCTACACACTCCCTACACAATACTGGAATTAGTAAACTACTGTATTCTATTGTTGATAAGCCTCTGAAGTACTATACTTGATCAATTCAATGCCCTAGAAGTCATGCGTTCATGAAATCCAAAGTTCAAAGCTTAAAGACAATAAAGCTGTAAATTTGACGCAGGTTTTTTGACGTTTGATAGTAATTGATGCTTTTAATTCTTTTTATACTTTTTATGCTTTTAATGACTAGTTTCTATTCTTAAATATCTATTCAACAATTTGTGAATATTATCGGGATTCAAATGCCAATTACTGAGTTTTTTCTGAATCGAAACCGATTCTACAAAGATGAAGTAATGTTTAGAGACAATAAAAGTAATGAACAAAAGATTAGCATGAGCAAAAGATTGAAAGAATCAATTTGAAAACGAAAAGTGTCCCAGGATGGTCAAAAAGGTGATGAAAAGGATTATTAATGTTAAAGAATCAATTTGAAAACGAATAGTGTCCCAGGATGGTCAAAAGGCTAAAAAGCAAAAGGCCAGAATGGCCAAAAAGCCAAAAAGCAACCCTTTCACTTTCCAAATTATCATTAATTCATTCAACACTTTCACTGACCTTTTTCTTCTCTTGAGACAAAATTTGCATATTATTTAATTCTTAGAGTATGGCACAGTACCAATTTAATCCATAGGATATTGAAGAAAACCTAGAGCAAAACATAAGACAGTAGAACATTCCAGTACAGTACAGTACAGTAGAACATTCCAGTACAGTACAGTACAGTACAGTACAGTACAGTACAGTACAGTACAGTACAGTACAGTACAGTACAGTACAGTAGAAGATTTCAGTACAGTACAGTAGAACAATCCAGTAGTAATCTTAAAAAGCAAGCCCAACTTTTCTTGGTTTACTTTACCAAGCACTTACTTTACTTTACTTTACCAAAATATTTTGATCAAATTCGCAAAAGTTTGACACATCACTATTTTTGACTTTGAAAGAAAGTGATAACACCTTTTTCAGTCAGTTTTCTGTTTTTTTTTGTGGTTTATAGCCTTGAATCAAATATAATCTTATGCCAGAAAATTGGCCTGAACGTTTGCTTTTTAAATAAATAAACTCTTTGATTCACTACGCAAATAACATTATCTATTCACTTTCAAAACTTTTTGATTCAGGAGTTGGCTTTAAACTGTCTCTTGGTAAATAGACTTGTTGGAGCTTTTCTTATACTAGTAATCTGGTCGGCTCCGAATCCTCAAATTGGACATT